TAAACAGAATTCGAATTAATTTTGCCGTGATATATATATTAAATTTTGTACAAAATGTAATATTTATTTGTCCTACAACTTATTTCAAGTTTCAAATATAAACATTTATAATCAATTATAGTTATACGGTTATACTACAGTTTCATGTTTCAATGAGACAATAATTATTTTTGATTAGTTAAATATTAATTAGAGAACCTAAATTTGATCATCTCGCAATCAAAATACATTAGGTTTAGTTTTGATTTGGCTAATAATTAATGTTTAATAGACAAACAAAAATTTTCAAATACTGATATGGTGTAACACGTCATGTCAATTTTTAATCCATATAATATGAGACTATCTTAAGAGTTCAAATTCATTTGTATGTAACAACATTCTTGTAATTAAAGTCATCATCACTGAATAAAGTCTTACTAAGATGCCGTACGTTTAAAAAAAAGGTCAAATAAGTTTATGAATTTTACTCAAAAAGTCAATTAGATCCTTAAATTTTTAAAAGTTGTAATTAAACCAATAAACATATTATTTTGAAGCATTTAAACCAATAAATCGGTTGATAACTTGTACAGGTTACCTAGGGTTCCAAAGACCTTTCCTACACTTTCGGACAACAATCACCTATGACCGAACGGTCGCCAGTTTGCGTTTGGAGGATGCAACCAATTAGTCTGCCTTCTCTAGTCGCCAGAGAAGGCGAGTTGATTTGCCTTCTCCTTCGTTGGAGAAGGTGACCAACTTGGTCGCCTTCTCAAGTAAAGGAGAAGGCATATCAGTTGGTCGCCTCCTCCAAACGCAATCGGTGATTGTCCGGTTGTCAGTATTGCTCGAAAGTGTAAGAAAGATCGTCGAAACTCGAAACCCTATGTAACATGTAATTACAGGTTATTAACCAGTTTATGAATTAATTAAATGCTTCAAAATAACATGTTTATGAATTAAATTGTAACTTTTAAAAGTTTAAAAAATTAATTGACTTTTTGAGTAAAGTTTAGTTGCATATTTAATCATTTTCTATATATATTAAAAAAAGAAAAAAAAGTGTATTGTATATTCCTACCAAGTAATTAAATTCTAGATTCCACGTGTCAATTGTTGAGGTGGGGTACCATGGGAATTGAAACTCCATACTGCAAAAGTGCAAAGCAAGCTATAATCTCTCTCCGGTCGGCCTCTATATATAAAACGCGTTATGTTCATGCATTATCCATCCTTCATCCTCAATCCTCATCATCATCTTTTGGTGTTCCAATTCAATCACAACCTCTCAATATTTTTTCTCGATTTTATTTTATTTCTCAGAAATCAATAGAAAAATGGAGTTTGACGAAGACATGTTGGTGAAGGTGGGGCTCTTCCTCCTAGTTCAAGCTCTGGTTTACTTCATCCTATCCAAGTCTTCCGCCGTCTTCTCCAACGCGCCGCCGCCGAGATCCTTCAGCTTCAAGAGGGCGCGCACTCTCAGCATCCGCCGCATGATGGCGGCGCTCGCCGACTTGCCCGCCGCCGGCGAGCCCTATTATCCTATTCCTCCCAAGGACTTCGCCTCATCATCATCATCCACATCTTTCAAGGACGATAGTACTGAGCTTGAACGCAAGACTTAATTCTTGCTCTGATTTAGGGTTTTTTTTTTCATTATGTTCTTCAATTCCTGCTGAATTGGATTGATATATAGATTATGTTTTCTGATTTAATTTATAAACTTTTTTTTTCATTTATGTGAAAATTTAATCTGTAAAATTGTACTGTAGCAGGTATTATAGGTGCAGTGGTTGTGGATTACATAAACTTTTGCAAGTTTTAGATTTCACGAAAATTTTTACATTATGCTTTTTACAATATCAAATACTAAATTTGTAATCTCTTTAAAATTTTAAAGATTGAATCTATACCCATTAATAGATGAGATTTACACAGCAATTATAAATAAATTAAAGATTGTTATATGGTTAATGGGAATAGTGAAGACCAAGCAAAATAAAATTATATTATAAAAATCATCCCATATCTATATAAAATAAAATAAAATGAAATGAAAAAAAATATCAGTTGACTTGCACGAGAAGACCAAACAATTAACTATGAAGTGACTTTTTAAATTTATTTTTGTTTAACTTTACAAGTCAGGTGACTTGCAAGCTTTCTTAATTAGAAAACTTATAAACCTGCAAAAGGCTGTTACAGGACAGTTGTGATAGCCGTTTGTATACTTTATAGTTAAAAAAATTACAAATTCGATGATGTAGAAATGTGATATATTTTTTTAAAGTGGGAGAGTATTGCAATGATAAGGATAGTGTAACATATTACTATTCCAACAATGTAGAAATGTGATATATTTTTTAAAGTGGGAGAGTATTGCAATGATAAGGATAGCGTAACATATTACTATTCCAACAATATTTAGCATCCAGTTTAAGCAATATGGAAACCAAAAGTAAGACCTGTTGAGACACGGACAAATGTTAACTTTTTAAAAATATATTACAATCAAGGATGATGTTTATGATATAAGAATGTTTTTGAAATGTGAAAAAACTATCTCTAAAAATTGTTGTACATCATGACATGTAACTACATATGATTAAAACACACATACCAAAAAAACTGCAAATATTTAGGACTAAAAATTAAATATCCTTTAAAAACAAACAAATAATAACAAGGCAAGAAATCAATGTCCGGACAAGGCACGTATAGCCTAGGTTAGGGTTTAATAAACAAGTTTAAATTTATTTAAGCTATCTTTATCTCTATAATATTCTCTCCCGTTTAAAAGTGAGTCATACCTCCATACAATCAAATTACTAATTTTTGTAATATTCATTCACTTTCAAAAGGGGTATGACTTTCATATCAAATTATAATATAATATAAAATAATTATATAATAATAACTATATAAAACGAAAAAATATTTAAAAAGTACAAAATGTGTCAATGATAAAAAAAAATAAAAAAATTCACATAGACTTGCCACGAGAGAACTTCCAATGGTAAATATAACCTTAGAGCATCCATATTGGTGGTGGGTTTTACAAAAAAATTTTTGGTGACATTAGGATTTAGGAGAGAGAGGAAGGAGAACAAAAAAGGAAGCAAAAGAAAAAAAAAAAACAATCTGACACGGAAATCATAAAAAGCAAAGTCAGCGGGTGCATGTCACCACACGCGACTTTCTAAGCTGTTTTCCTTTCTCTCTTGCAAGAGGAAGAAATGAGAAAAAAATCATGCTACACATCAGATGAAAAACCAAGCACAAACTTTAACTTCATAAAAAATCCACAAATGTGGATGCTTTTAGTGCCACAATGATGAGGAGTGTACAAATTAGGGAGATAAAGGCAAGAGAGTCACGATTAATAGGTTTAATGGTGCATATTGCTTTCTTATCACCTCTAATTAAAAGATATCGTTCACTATATATTTATTCAAAGAAGTAATTTTCTCACAGTTTTAGAGAGTTCAATTTGATTTCCATTTTTCTTTTTTAAATGGGGAAGTATTTATACTACTACTAGTACACATTGGGTCATTATAAGTATAATAATACACAATTGTGACCTAAATGTAATCATGACCTAGGACTTGATTGTCCCGTGCATGGTTTTGGTAGGTGCATAATATTGAAAAATAGATACGCGTACCGATTATTATTTTCAAGCCATACCAAACTTATTAAAAGCGAGGCGAGCGACGGCAGATCGCCTCGCCTAGGCAAGGCGCAGTAGCGTGAGAAAGTGCGCGCTTGAACGCGCTTTTCCGGCGAGGCAACGAAGCGACGAAGCGGCGAAAAGCGAGGCTTTACTATGCAGAGCGCAAGTCAACAGTCAAAAAAGAAAAAAAAAAGCACGAACAAAATTAAAAAAAAAAAATGACGATTCGCAAAACCCTTCACCGCCTGCCTCACCCCTTTGCTCACTACCTCACCTTCACCGCCTTCACCGAGAGTCATGGTTGCCCTCGGGAAAGCCTTCTGCCTCACCTCATTTAAACATCTCGAAACCCTCTGTTTTGCGCCTCTGCTCACTGCGTCACCATCACCGCAAGTCGTCGCTGTCGCTAACCTTCCTCGCCGGCGTTGCTGCTGCCTCGCCTGCCTCTTGCTCAAGCCGAGCTCACAAAATTGTGCCGGATGTAAATCGCTGCTTCTCGCTCTCTCTCTCTCTCTCTCTGATTTTTTTTTTCTCTTACGTTGAATGAAGAAGATGACTGAAATGTTAAAATAGAGTTTGAGACTTGGAGTCTTACTCTTGGCTGGACACTTGGCAGTAGGCAGTACTGAGTATCATTTATTGTTAACACTAACTTTTTTTTTTTTTTCATTTTCTGTATTAAATTATGTTTTAAAATTATTATGAATATATTGAATATGTGATATTTTGATGACTAAATGACTTGAATGACTATTTTGATGACTAAACTTTGTATTATTATAATATTGAGGAGTTCCTATATATGTTATTTTGCATTACTATTTAAGTATTTTGAGTATATATTGATTTTTTTAAGAAGCGTCGCTTTATGTGAAAAAGCGACGCTTCGCTTTGCGCTTTCGCTTTAAAGCAAAGCCCGGGCTCATCGCTTTGGTGCGCTTTTTTGCTTTAATAAGTTTGAGCCATACATAAATTGACTTCCCACCTAAATATGAATTTAATAACTTTTGTAGCAATCAATAATAAGATTACTAGATTATGATTTATTGGTTCAACGTAGTAATATATATATTCGATGATATACAATTAAAGTTTAGCTAAATTCTTAAACTCATATTTAGATAGAAAAGTCTAATTCAAAACCCTAATTCTCAATATTTTCTTTCCATGAGAAAGTTATTTAGACTTTTTATTGTTTGGGAAAAAAAAGGGGTCAAAGTGCCCCCATTATTTATTTATTTATTTTTTTTTGAAAGGAAGTGTCCCCATTTTAACGCACTGCAATTTTGAAAGTCAAATCGATCAAAAGGGCACCCGGAGACAGAGGCCACCATAATATTGGAATTTTCTTTTATCAAATACATTTCTGGCGAGCCAGCCGCTCTCTTAGGAAAGGCCAAAGCCACCCCGTTTATTAGTCTCTGCTCTCTCTCTCTTTCTCTTTCTCAGATCTCTCCCAATACACCTAATCTCTCCCAGCGTCTCTCTAGGTAAGCTTTGGTTCGTATTATGCTTCGCATCATTGAACAATGATTGAACTTTCCTGCTAATTTGCAAACGATTTTTAGTCAATTAATTGCTAATTGATTTTAGTTTCGTTTGTTTCACTTGCTCCAATCCATTTCGGCTTAAGTGAACGGTTGATTTTTTGCGTATCGTTGTATGTAAAGGATTAATGTGAAATTAATGTTATGTGCTGGTGAAGTTGTTGATTTCTGAGAATCTACGTGGATTTTACGCTGTTTCAGTGGTATCTCGATTGATAGCAATGGTATTCTACCGAAGCGTTTCTCTACTATCAAAGTTGCGATCTCGAGCTGTAAGTCACACTATATCAGTTGTGTGCGTGTTTGTGAGCTATTTGATTTGATACTTTAATGTTTTCTACTCATTTCCCTGGCTTGACATGGATTCGTATTTGAATCTTAGGTTCAGCAGCCTAACCTTAGCAATTCGGTGCGCTGGCTCCAAGTTCAGACCTCATCTGATCTGGTAAGTGTCGTGGCGATGCATAGTGCGGATCAGGTGGCATGCTGCCTTGTTGCAGCTCCTATTTGATTTTTAGAAGTTTGCATGCTGTAATGTTATTTGGAAAGGAATTGAGCAGACATCGAAGCATTGCCTTGCTCACCTGCAAATTATCATAAACATTTTTGCTTTTAAATTTTTTTACTATTGCGCTTGTGCATGAACTTGGTGCTGTGTGATTATTGGTAATCTAGTATTATTTGAATCTATGCTCATACCATTGTTGCCTTTCTTTTAACAGGACCTCCGTTCTCAGCTTCAGGAATTGATTCCAGAACAGCAGGTATGTTATGACTCATTATTTCACTGTAATAGTTCTACTAGTGTCATTCCAATCATACCTCTTTATCTTCTTGTAAGTTCAAAGAAATTCAGGTTTTTTTTTTGTTTGTTTGTTTGTTTTTTTTTTTTTTTTGTTTTTTTTTTTTTTTGTTTTTTTTTGGCATTTTTCCAATTGTGCCTGGATGGATATATAATTTCCTTGACTGAAGAGTTTGACGCTTATGCGCATGCATGTGCTCCAGCTTCTGTCTGAAATGTGTGCTCTTCAGCTATTAATATGGTGTAGTATTTTGTTCACTTGACCATACCTCTTAATTCCTTGTTCTCTGATTTTTGTTTCAGGAGCGCCTCAAGAAAATCAAGTCACAACATGGAAAAGTTCAACTTGGAAACATCACAGTAGATATGGTAAAGATTTCTTTAGCTATTTTTATTAATGGAATAACTTTAGCTATTTTACTAATAGGAGAAATGTAGAATTATATGTCTTAAAGGAATGTGTATGGTAAATCCTGATTGAGTTTTGTCATCCCTTTGAAGGTAATTGGTGGTATGAGAGGAATGACTGGATTATTGTGGGAAACCTCATTACTTGACCCAGATGAGGTATGTGCTATTATGTGACACTATGATTTCTCTGAGTTGAAGCTGTTTCAGTCTTATCAATTCTCTGTTCTGTGCATCCCTTTTCTCAATTCTACCAGGGAATCCGCTTTAGGGGATTGTCTATACCTGAATGCCAGAAGTTACTACCTGGTGCACAGCTTGGTGGAGAGCCAATGCCTGAAGGTCTCCTGTGGCTTCTCCTAACAGGAAAGGTAAGACATTGTGGCAAATTGATAAAAATGAAAGCATTATTGCCCTGCCAATTTGGAGGGAGTAAGGGAAAGCCTAAGTTGTCTTCTTTTTGGACAATGACCCTTCATTTGTCTTCTTTTCATAAATTTATTCTTGCTTCTTAAAGACTGTAGACTGTCATGGCCAGGCTTTTGGAAAATTCTCTTAATCTCTTATCCTATGTTATTGGCTCTACAGGTGCCGTCAAAGGCACAAGCGGATTCCTTATCTCAAGAATTGAGAAGTCGTGCTACTGTTCCAGGTTTTGTGGCTTTCATTAGCTCAAATTTCTTTTCACGCTTTTGCTTTAATATCTAATGTTGATGTCTGTACTATTGTAATGACCCATGTTCTTTTAGGATAAATTATTGTTTCTTTCTTATTTCCTTCTACCTTCTGTGACTATCAGAGCAGTTATGTTCATTTATTTAACATTTTTCTTTTAAAACTTGTTGTGTGCATCAATTTAGAAAGTTGAAATGTTAAAGCTTTCTTAAGTTTATCTTCAGACATGCAACAATATTTATGTAATCCTCTTCTCTCTGGTTTCAGATCATGTGTATAAAACCATTGATGCCTTACCTGTTACGGCTCACCCAATGACTCAATTTGCAACTGGTGTCATGGCTCTTCAGGTCAAATGTCAACTACTTTGTACTATGTTCCTACTTCTATTTTGAATATTCAATTTAATTTTGAAGGTTGAATTGTTATGCTGAACATGCTTGATTGGTGTGACTTCCCTGCATAGTCAAAAAGATGCCGATACCTTTCTCTTCCTTCATATGATCACTCTGTTAAAGTTCTTTTTTTTTTTTTTTTTTTTTTTTTTTCTCTCTTTCAGGTTAACAGTGAATTTCAGAAGGCATATGAAAAGGGGATTCACAAGTCGAAGTGAGTTTTCACTTCCCAAATTTCTGATTAGAGAATTTTGTCCAATTCTTTAAAGCACTTACACTTACTTTATTTTTTAGGCTCTGGGAACCAACATACGAGGACTCCCTCAGTTTGATTGCTCAACTTCCAATTGTAGCTTCCTATGTATATCGCAGGTTAGATGGCTGTATTTAGCATTCATAATTTATATTTAGTTATTGTTTTCTTCTCCTCTTCATGTGTACCTGTCCTCACACGGGAAAGAGAGGAAAAATCTTCTTATTGTGCTTTCAAGTGTCATGATGTCTGATCAAATCTTCTAATTGCTTCTTTTATTATGTTTCACTTAAACCTTGTTTACTCTTGTGAAGGATGTACAAGAATGCCCAAGTTATAGCGAAAGATGACAACTTGGATTATGGTGCAAATTTTGCACACATGTTAGGTTATGACAGCCCTGCTGTGCATGAACTTATGAGGCTCTATATTACCATCCATACGTGAGCAATACTATTTAGTTTGATATCTGATATGTTTGGTTGAGCTGGATTTTATAGTAGGACGCATCTAACTATCCCCTGCCTTGCAGTGATCACGAAGGTGGGAATGTTAGTGCTCACACTGGTCACCTGGTAAGTTATACTATTTGAGGGTTATAAAAATCACATTTTTAAGACTTGTTTATCAATTCTTATGTGGAATTTGTAATATGCTTATATGTCTGACAGTTACATGCAGACTCTGAATTTATGCCCTAGTGTTATTGATTTCTCTTACATCACCTTCCTTTGATTACTTGCTTTTGGTACTCACTGATTAACTGCTTGATCAGGTGGCCAGTGCTCTTTCAGATCCTTACCTCTCATTTGCAGCTGCATTGAATGGTCTAGCCGGACCCCTCCATGGTTTGGCTAATCAGGTGATTTCACTGTTCCCTTTAATGTTCATTATATTTCTTTATTTTTGTAATGCATTAACATTTTTACACCTGCAAGATGATTCATTGCTTATATTGTGCTCACTTGTTTGTAATTATGACAGGAAGTGTTATTATGGATCAAATCTGTTGTAGAGGAGTGTGGGGAGAACATATCCAAAGAGCAGCTAAAGGATTACGTCTGGAAAACCTTAAACAGCGGCAAGGTAATTTACATTTGACAAATTTTTTTCTGATGTTCAAATGTTTTTTGTATCCTATTTTCTTGAACCTTAACCAAAGGCTTACTAATCTCATTGTTTCATAAGCCAATTAGCTGGAACCACCACCATCTATTGTCTGCCTTGTGCATTTCTACTTAGCATTGTCATAATTTTGCTCCTTGATCACTTCTGTTTTGTTTCAAAAGAGTGGACCTGGACCACATCCTCTCCCCATAGACTGTGCTTTCTTGGGTGTTGGGAACAGGGTTTGTGATTTTAAGGGTATCTTTCATTTTACAAGGTCAAACCTGATAAATATCTTTTCTGGTGCACTTCTTTAAATGCAGGTTGTACCTGGATTTGGGCATGGAGTTCTGCGCAAGACCGACCCTAGATATACTTGCCAAAGAGAATTTGCATTGAAGCACTTACCTGAAGATCCATTGTTTCAACTGGTTATAACTTAAGCCTTAATACTGCTGTATCCCTGTGTTGTTTTGTTATTCTTATATGATCTAACTAATGTGTTATTTGATGTGTATTTTTCTTTTGCAGGTTTCAAAGCTTTATGAAGTCGTTCCTCCTATCCTTACAGAACTTGGCAAGGTAAGCTGCTATACATGTGATACTTGTTTTTTGCTTCAACCTACATTTGTAGATTAATTTAGTGGTTTTAAGAATATACTTCTTTAGTTCTTTTGTTGACTTCATTGGCAATGCCAAAGAATTTTAGTACTTAATAGTAACATTGAGCTTTGCTAGTGATTGAAATCTGAGATGCATGTATCATTTCCCGTTTCCATGTGCTGAAAAATATTCTGATAGCCATTTAATGTTGTTATTGCATGTTAATAAAATTATTGTGCTTGTCCAGTCTGAAGTGCATCTTGTAGATATTATTATTCTGATATTGAGATCACAAAGCTCTGCCTATTATCAAATTAATTTATTATTATTAGTGTTCTGAACATGCATGTTATGAAGGGGCTTTATCAGACTGAATCATGAGTTTTGACTTTGCAGGTCAAAAACCCATGGCCAAATGTTGATGCGCACAGTGGGGTGTTATTGAACCATTACGGTTTATCTGAAGCGAGGTATTCCATACATCTTTCCTTCATAAAATTGTTCAGGCTTGTAAAATGATTCAGGCAAATTTGATAAGCTCTTTCAACTTAATTTTCTACAGATACTATACAGTCCTCTTTGGTGTATCTAGAGCTATCGGCATTTGCTCACAGGTAAATCTATACTACTAGCCCTCCTCCCACCTCTTCTCCAATAGTATCTAAACTCTAACTCTTATCCTTGTAAGTCGGCATTGAGAAACTGATAATAGTCTCCTGTTTTATTCAGCTGATATGGGATCGAGCTCTTGGATTGCCATTGGAAAGGCCAAAGAGTGTAACTATGGAGTGGCTTGAAAATTACTGCAAGAAAGCTGCTGGTGCTTGAGTTTTTCACCTGAGTATAGAATTCTGTATTTAATTTCTTAATAATAACTCCTTGGCAAAAAGCGGCCGAAAACTTCAAGGGTGCGGTTGAAGATGATCTTTTCAGTTCTTTAGCTAGATTGTACCTGTGTTGCCATAGGTGTTTTGCCATTGCCTCTAGTTTTCTACTTAAGTTGTTGCCAGCATTTTGAAACCTTTTTACTGATTCAGCATCCTGAGGTTGGTGTCTTACGAGCTGAAATAAGCATTTTGTACCATTATTATAGTGCAAAAGTAAAAATCATGATTTTTTTTCCCTTGCAGTTAATAGCATCGATGCCACTTTTGGTTCCTGAGATTATAAGAAACATTGACAGACGGGAAGATGGACTTATTCTCAAGAATATAATTAACAAAACATAATTACATACGTCCAATTTATTAGTTGAAATTTGTTAAGTGCGCAATCTTTGACGCTTAATGCCACAAAAATTAATCCAATTTATTAAGAAAAAAACCAACGAACTAAAATAATATTTTTACTACAAACTACTACTTGGAATCCTTCCCATTGGCTTCTTGATTATCATCGCTAACCGGAGCTGTAAAATTCCTCCGCTCATCTGAACTGGCAGTAATAACAGGCATCCATAGATCAGCAGTGCTGCTTAAGAGAGATTGAACCTGTGGATCAGCAGCCATGGCTGAGGAAATCATCTCATCTACGTGATCCAGCTTTGACGATAACTTATCCAACTCCTCAGCAATCTCCATCTAATTGGACAGATAAGTCAGGCATAAACCCTGAGGGAAGATGGATATACTGCAAATTTGACTAGAGTCGGGACTCACCTCATCAAGATGTGCTGATTTCGAAGGGACTTTTGTAACTTCCATCCCTAAGGCCTGTATCTTGGCACGTAACTCCACTTCCTCTTGATTAGATAGTGACTCAACCTGAAAAATGTTTGTTAAAATGTTGCTTCCCCTTGACTAAAATTCGTGCACATGCAGCAACACCTTTGGGAGAGTCCCCTTCTAAATGGAATCCAACTAAGACTCGGTTGAATTAGTCTGGATACAGATATTGGTGCAATACGAAGAAAAAAAAGAGAGTATATAACTAATCATTGCAATTGGTAAGTAAGAGCACTAGCATTGGCTATTCTAATGCCCAAGCAAGGTGCCCCTCTTTCCAATAACCAGGCCAATTAACATCAAAACTCCTTTTCCTTTAAGCTTATCGTAAACAGAATCAACAACATAAATCATATATCAAATTAGAAAACAAACTCTTAAGGCCAGAACAATGCTAACACCAAATCTCAGTACACGCTAATATTCATTTTTCACACCGCATGCCAAACCCATCCACATCATTTGCCATCTGGAAATTCACCCCACAACAGACATTTCCCAAGGTTCATTCACAAATACCTTCCATCCTAGAGGTGATATTAGCTTGGGAAGAAAATGAGAAGCTTCTAGTTTGCTGAAACAATGATCACTTGCTCAGGAGAAAGAGTCCAGGATCAAAACACCCATTTTAAGTCATAGTTTATATACCGAATTATATGCCCTATGGCCCCGACCTACCATCAGCTACCAAACCTCAAGCAATCCAGTCGTTAATCCCTAAACCCAAAATCAAAACAAAAATGCAATAAGGGTAGTGTAGCCTTATCACCTTATGCAAGAAGGAAATGACAACAATAAAGCATTTCCCATAGTCAACTATTATGCTGTTTCATGCTACATTGCTACCTATCCTGAACAATCTACAACTAAGATATTCCTTCCAATATCAAGGTTTGGATAGGGAAAGGCTGGACAATGGAGCCATATACATAGTAAATCTAGAATGTTAACATTTCCAATTTACACCACAAATTCAACAGCTAAGGATTCAAACATTATTACTATGAAAGTTTTGCCTGCCATTGCACCTTCTTTCATGCTAGCAATCTGTCCAAATTCACCCTGGACCTCTGACCTCGATAGCTTAAAATTTGGATGTTTCTAAAGTCCCCTAATCACACTGACCGGTTTGGTGGAAAATCAAGCGGAAAATAAGATTTAGCATAGTAATTTAATCATTTAATCTATAAAAGCTCAATCTAAGAACATCATTGGCATTTAGCAATAGTGAATGAGGAAATTTTTTCCATCATATATCAAGGAAAATGAGCTTGAACAACGAAATTAAATAAAAACCTATAAAGAGATCCAGGATTTTATGATCTACCTCAAAGCTACAGAAAACGATGAAAGACGAAGAAAATTCATAGATTTTCAGCAATATATATGCATGTATGTGTCTGACATACCTGCTGGAGAAGATTTGTTAAGAGACCAAAGAGTTGAGCGTCAGCCGTCGCTGTCGACGGCGCCGATGGTGGCGGAAACTTTCCTTCCTCGGCCATTCCCGGAGATATTTTCGTTTCCAGCTGCGGCATACGGAGTAAAATTATACAAAATTATATTTATAATAATCTACGTCATAAATGCTAGCCCAATTTGAGGCCCATTCCCTAATTGCTAATGGGCTGAAACCGATGTACTCCGTCAGTATTTTGGGTTCAAAACTAGCCCAATTATGTGCAACCTTGTGCACCATGCATGGTGCACACGGTTGCGAACGACGCCGTTTCACTTTGGTGGAGTAACGGTGGCGTTAGTGGCACCGTTTAACTCCACCAATCAATTTATTTTTTTTTACTCCACCAATATGAATATATAGTTTATTCATTCTAAATACACAGTATCAGTAACCGATGTGGATATATAGTTCACTAATTTTAGATATATAGTTAACTAATTCTGGATATATAGTTTATTAATTATGGATATGTAGTTCATTAATTCTGGATGTGAATATATAATTAACTAATTCTGGATATATAGTTCACTAATTCTGAATATATAGTTCATTAAGTATGGATATATAATTCATTAATTCTGGATATAAAGTTCACTAATTCTGAATTTATAGTTCATTAATTTTGAATATATAGTTTATTCATTTTGAATACACAGACACAACGAACTGTCATAAACCAACAGATAGTACTAGTAACATGTGTGGATATATAGTTCACTAATTCTGAATATATAGTTCAAATTAATTCAACATAACGCCGTTAACGACAATCGACAATGTTTTTTTTTTTTTTTTTTTTTTTTTTTTTTAAAGAGTCGGACAACATCATTTTTAATCAATTAACTATGCAATCATTATGGCAAATTTTTATGTAGACAACGGTGCATAGAATATTGATTGAATCATTATATCATTGATTATAGTTTATTTTACAAGATCAAAGTCAACTATTGACATAATGTATATTTTTTAATATATTAAATATATATTTTTAATAAATTAAAACTTCATTTTTAAATGTACATTATTTATGTACTAAATATATATTATTTAGTAACATATCAAATAATGCATTTTCAGTATATTAAAAATTAACATTTTTTCCTAATTTACAATATAATTTGCCTGTGATATAACATAACCAATAAACTATCCTTCCCCAACTTGTATTTATATTAAAATAATATTTGCAGATTTCTAGTCACTCAAAATAAAGTTATAAATTAAAAATTATATAATTAATTAATTATAAAGATTAATAATAACTATAAAAAATGCAAATAAATAGTAACTTTTAAGTTGTAACTTATTATAATAAAAAAAATGTGTGTGTATGGTCTAGATTAGGTGAAAAGAGACATTAATGTAAAAAAATATGATGAGATATGAGTCGTTGATCTGTTAAGATCAACAACTCTAAAAAATGAAAACATTTTTCAAACTTTATAGTATAAGCATATACATTTGTAATATAAAATCTATGCACTTTATGGTATATATATATGCATTTTCAAATATTAATTTAGAAAAAATACAGTGACATATTTGTAAATATCTTAAAAATAATATTACTCTTTACATTTGTAGTACAAAACCTATGCAATATATATGTGCACCTCGAAGTTATAAAATTTGACTAAAAATGTCATCGCATTTTTTTAAAAAAAAATCCATTTTATTCAATAGCGTTGATATAGACCACATCAAAGGCTAAAATTTCAAAACTAAAGACATTTTAAAAATAAAAACTTGATTATTTTATTATTTTATTTTTTTATTTTAATTTTTGGATATAGGCTAGTATGAGCTTACGTTTTTTTATTGTTTGACTCGATGCATCCTAACCCGACCAAAATAAAGAAATTACGAAAGAACTTATTTTGTGAAGATGAAGATGATGAAATATTTGATGAGTGCATTGAGATGGAGACTTTGAGTGGAGAAGAAGAAAGTGTTAAAATTCAAAGAAATGGTGGCAAAGGAACACAACATTGAAAGTTGTCCATTGTAAGAAAAAGTGAAGAAAAGTGTAGTTAGTAGAATGCAAGGCTTGAACGAGGAAATCCATTAATAGGGTTCGTTGGGAACTCTATAAGAGTTTTTGAATCAGGAGGGGTTAATGGTTTTGTGAGTATTGGCCCAAATTGATGGATATGGGCAAATTATTTTCGTGTATTGCGGTGCATAATCGATTATGTACCGAGTTTCAAAACGACGTCGTTTTGTTTAATAAAAAGAAACGGCACCCGTTTCGCGCCGTTCCGCAAAAAGTAACTGTATTATTCAATTTCATTTTGTATACATTGCAGTTTCAGTTCAACACAACTACAGTTTCATTTTGATATAACTACAGTTTCATTTCGATATAACTACAGTTTCATTCGATATTTATACACTCAAATATGTGAAAATGTTATTTAATTTTATTTTATATACACTATAGTTTCATTAAAACACAACTACATGATCATTTAGATATAACTACAGCTTCATTGCACACGTACTATACACTCAAATATATGAAATGTTATTCAGTTTTATTTTATATTCACTGCAGTTTCATTTCACCACAACTACAGTATCATTTTGATATAACTGCAGTTTCATTTGATAATATAAAAATAATACGTGAGGCAGTGACAGTTTAATTAGATACATTGTAGTGTCAGTTTAGATACACTGTATAGTAATTTCAGCGGGTAATAATTAACACATAAAAAGTGCACTCCGTTAACAATAATGGCGCTATTTCTTTAAGTAAAGAAACGACGCGTGCACCGCGGTCCACATTATAACAACGGGACGGATATGCATATTTAAGAACTCTCACTTTTTATTGGTAAATGACAAAGATCTAAGATTTTCCTTGCCAGATGGGAAATGTCAAGAAGATGAAAGGCCTGAAGCTCAAGAAACTAAAAGGAAATTGTGTGCTAGTGCATGCCATGCAATAAAGTCAAGATGAGCTGATAAAAGAAAGAAAGAAAGACCCTTCCAGTAACCTATTTACTTTGGAATATGATTTCCTAATATGTCTCTTTCTAACATGTTCTAACAAACAAAAATGTCCCTTTCTCAGTTCACTTTTGCTACGCAACTAACGATAAGGTTAATGGATAATAATATATACACCATTAATTGCGTGTATTCCATTCACTTTGATCTATGTATGTGTCATCTAAGTGATAACATTGCTTTTTTTTTTTTTTTGGGATAAGGGTCAAATAGGCCCTCTAAGTATAATCAAAAGAGCAATTAGATCCTCAATCTATAAAAAGCTCCAATTGAACCCTTTAACTTGTCAAATTAGTGCAATTCACCCATTTTACGTGTAACCTTCAGGTTAATGCTGACATAAGCAGCCACGTGGCAGCCATGTGGATATTTTTTTTTTTGGATTTTTTTTTAAAAATCTACCTGTAAAGTTATAAGTAAAGCTAAATAAGTAAAATAAAACACTAAAATAATTCAGTAATCCCTAATCCTAATACATTGTACGTCTTCCATTTTGCGACTCACTGTTCGGATTAGGGAGAAAAGAAGAATTGGGATTAGGGAAAAAGATGGCCAAGTCGACATACAGAATGTGTGAAATTAAGATTATGGATTACTGTATTAGTTTAGGGTTTTATTTTACTTATTTAGTTTTAGTTTTAATAATAATAATAATAATAATAATAATAATAATAATAATAATAATAATAATAATAATAATAATAATAAACATTATAGCTTTACAGGTAGATTTTTTTTTAAATCCACATGGCTGCCACGTGGCTGCTTATGTCAGCATTAACTTGAAGGTTATTGGTAAAATGGGTGAATTGCACTAATTTAACAAGTTAAAGGGCTCAATTGGAGCTTTTTATAGATTGAGGGTCTAATTGCTCTTTTGGTTATACTTTGAGGGCCTATTTGACCCTTATCCTTTTTTTTTTTTTTTTTTTTTTTTTTTTTTTTTTAATATTGTCTCGAATCTAAACTTTATAACTACATACAATATCAAATAAAGTATTATCTTGTATTAGATTTTAATAAAAGTTAAAAATAAATCTTGAATACTATACATTGAGATTTCTAATCAAAATAGTGCATTTTTATGTATATGGGATTTATAGTATATATTAAAAATGCACTATGTAGTATGCTAGATATAAGAGAATAGTGGCATTTTTTGTAGATAAGTTTTAAAAAAAAAAAATTAAAAAACAATCCGAGATATATGTGTGACAGTATTTTACTAAAAGAGAATAGTGGCATTTTATGTATGAGATTTTTATCTTTTTTTTTTTTTGTTGTTGTTGATATTATAACATTATTATTATTATATTTTTGTCTGTGTGATAATGGGTTTAATCAATCCGATAAATTAGTACGTAAATGTCACAAATATGGTGTTTGTTGAAGTTGAATAATATGAGATTATATATGGTCTACTAATATTATTAACTTAAAGTGTTAAAAAGATTTTAGTACAATTACTATTTACTTTGGAGATGACAAAGTAACAATACAAATAGAGTTAATTATAGATCTAGTAACTATATGTGTGTGTGCGCGCGCGTGCATGCGTGTGTGTGTATGTGACTATTGCTTTTCGTGCGATCGTACAACTTTGCACTATTATGTGTACACAAATGCTGCATTACGTGTTTATAAAAAGTTAGTAAGTTACTATATATATGTGTGTGTATTATGTTTAAATTGTAATATTATATACTATTTTATTAAATAAAGCATCATAAAATTACTTCGAAAGGGATGATGGAGTGGGTAAAATATAATTTTCATTAAAAAAAAAATCATAAATTCGAGTCATTCCTATACATTATATTTTTGAAGTTTGAGATAAAATAGAATGTGATTTACACTTGTAAATAGTGTGGCCACAAATTTTCATTATCAAAAAAACATCATAAAAGTTTGCTAGGCTCCTAAGTCCTAAGTACACACGTAAATAACGTACTTCATTGCTGTTGTTGTCGCCTCGCAATTCGCAATACAATGGTAAATTGGTAATGGGTGCATGCATGAGCCATGAAAAGCTATTTATTGGAATTATTCCTTACTTTGTTGTGCAGCAAACTTGCAAATATTCTCTCTCTCTTTTTAATTAAAAAAATCATGTAAGTATATATATATATATATATATATATATATATATATATATATATATATCTTCTAAAAACATAATAAGTATGAATGAATGTTATACCCCTGATTTATGTCCGTTTTTTCGGTTAAGTTTTTTTGTACATTATGCTATAAAGGTTGTACATTAAAATGTTTTGGACAAACATACCCCTACCGTTATAACTTCCGTTATCTTTTCCATTATTGTTACCATGCACATGCATCCACCATATATTTTCTTATCTTCCTCATTAATAATAATATATACACATTATATATTTGAGTTATATGTTAATTATTACATAAAATATAAATATCAAATTTATAAAAATAATTTAAATTATTATTATTATTATTTAGAATAATTTAAATATCTAAAATCTAAATAAATTTAAAATTTTAATATAATGTATTAATATTGGGCACTTATTTTTTGCGCATCGCGCATAAAAAATACTAGTATATATATATATATATATATATATATATATATATATATATATATATATATATATATATATAGGGAATGGATTAGGTGCGAGAATAGCTTCCCGTGCGGTTGTGCAGTTAGACGCACATTAAGCATTAAACTGATGATGTACTTTAAGTACACAACACATGCACATTAAGCACACAAACAAATAAAACACCTTAAGAATACAAATCACGCACCTTAAGAACATCAACCACGCACCTTAAACACATAACAAAACAACTTAAGAACACAAATCACGCGCCTAAGGTTTTAAAAATGGTTCACTTTAAGTTTCACATAACTGACGCATCTTAAGCATACAAATCACGCACCTTAAGATGAAAACAACGCACATTAAGAAGGAAACTCACGCACATAAATTTCAGCAACTACTCACATTAAGCACAGACTCACACACCTTTATAAACACAAAATTCACGCACCTTAAGACAAAATCCACGCACCTTAAGCACAAAACACACGCACCTTAAGCACAAAACTCACTCACCTTAAGTTTCAACAACTACTACTATTAAGTACACAACCCACGCACCTTAAGCACAAATCTCACGCACCTTAAGCACAGATTCACGCACCTTATATACAAAACTCACACACCTTACTTACAAAAATCATGCATCTTACATTTGACCTAAATGTAAAAAAATTACCAAAATGCTACCGCATTTTTTATTTAACTTTGGTAATCTAAACGTTGATTTTAGCAAAATCAATGATTCTCTTTTCACCACACAACCGCACCTAACACCTTAAATGTTGTGTCGTGGAATAACCATCCCATAAAAGCGAATTCGCTGTTACTAGTGCAGGATCACAACAACGACGTCGCCCCTGAAGGTTAACACAACAATCCCCATTTCCGTACACCTAAAACATGAATTGGATCATACACAACTTCTCATAGTAGGAAATTAAATATGACAAATGAGACATCAGACAATATTTGTATGTATGTCTAAACTCTATAATATATAGTAGAGGTCACACAATTATTAATTTATGACAACATACCACCTAACAAATCATGATTACTTATCAAATTGAGGTAAGGATTAAATTACCAAGATATTTTAAAATCACATCAAATTTTCAATTGAATTGCATTTTCCTCACACCGGGTACATGTACTCTACTATATTACTCAAATTCTACCCAAATTGATTTCGATCAAACCCGATTAGCCACTACACATGTTACTACATTTAATAGTATTATTTGAGATAATTAACACCTTCATGAATAATTTACAATTATACAATAAAGTAAATATAGTGTCTAAGTTATCACAACAACTAATTAATTATACATACATGTTTTTATTTCTATTAAAACTTTACAAATATCGACTTTTATATCATTTATATTCAAATTGTTGGTGCGTATCACTTAGTATTAAACAGGAAATACAATATAATGATAATTTTTGTGTGTGGATATAATAGATTAATAATGGTGGATTCAAGCATATAATTCAGCAGGTATTGACAAAGAGCAGATTTTTACAAATATTTTAAAATGTTATTTTGGATGATGACGAAAACTCACCATCATTATTCAAGAGTATACAAAGGTAAATCATATTAGAAAGAGTCCGTGTATTATTTATTTATTTATTTTAAATATTACATTCCCATACTCATCCATAATTTGGCTCATCGTTTTTTGAATGAAGACAACTTAGAAAATATTTTTTGAAAATAATTTTTTCACAAAATGATTCATTTTTTTGGAAACTATTTGATTTTTTTTTTATTTGGCTAAAAGTTAAGAAATTGTATTTTTTTTTTTCTGTTTGGTTCATTTGATCATTTCCCTAAAAAGAACATATTATTTGTTATAATAATAATAATAAGTGGTGTGGTTGTGATGGGTGGTGGTAGTGGTGGTGGTTTAGTGTAGTGGTAATAACAATAATAATGTAGAGACTACTAACGTGAAAGTATATGAGAGAGAAGATAAAGACGGAAAAATACATAACCCAAAAAAATGTCTTCCGACTAAAAATTTAGTATGACATTTTTCGCCAAAATAGAGTATTTTTTTTATTGACCAGAGTAAATATTTTCTTTTGACTTTATTTTCATTGAATACTAAGCATGGAGAAATTTTAAAAACAACTTATAGAAATTATTTCATAAGTTTCCAAACAGACCTTAAGTGTGGTGGTTATAATTTACTATCAATTAGTCAAAAAGTAATACTTTCTGACGTAAACTGGTGTAAAAATATTTGGGATATTTTAACTGAACTCGTTGTATAAAATATTTTTAGTGTGATTTATCTTTTTTTGTATAATTTGTGATATTATTATTAAATTACTGAGTGCACATTCTTAAACAGTGACAAGTTGACAATCAAAAAGTTCTTAACATGATAATTAAAAAATATTTTTAAGGGAAAATGACACTTTTTCCCCCTTTGTTATATACTTATAGCACTTTTTCCTCCTAAATTATTTAAGTGGCAGTTTTTCCCCCTGATATATTAAATGGACATATTTACCCTTAAAATAAATATTTCATTTATTTTTCTTCTCCAACAAATTATAACCACGATTTGAAAAAATAAAATACATTAAGTGTTAAATTTAGAATATTTTAAAAATAAAAAAATAAAATTTTAAAAGAAAGTTTGAACCAACCGTTCAAATTGGATCCAAAATCGTGAACCGACAGTTCAAAATAAAACTCAAATCGCGATTATATATACTTATATGTGAGAGTCAATATAAATGCGGAAAAAAACATACACTATTTGCAAATATTATAATTCTAATTTAAGCTATTGCTAGTAGTTGTTCCGATTTGAATCTCCGGTTCACGATTCAGGATCCATTTTTTTTTCCAGTTCACGATTTTAATAAACGGAAACCCAAACATTGTGTTATGTTATAAATCATAACCGAAATTTTTAATTTGATTGCTATAGTGTTTGGTTCAGTTCGAACCGAACCGTGGTCATCCCTACGTATAAGCAATAATTTGTTGAAGAAGAGAAATAAATAAAATATTTGTTTTAAGGGTAGAAATGTCCATTTAATATTATCAGGGGGGAAAACTGCCACTTCTATAATAATTGAGGGAGCAAATGTGAGTGCATGAATAACTTAGGGGGAAAAAGTACTATAAACATATAACACAGGGGGAAAAAGTGCCGTTTTCCCTATTTTTAATTTAATAATTATTGTGTCGCGCTAGAAAGATATAGAGTATTATTATTATTATTTTTTTTTTTGAATACCACTGATTTAAACTTATGACCTCTTACTTGAAAGAGTCATTTTGTACTAAGTAGATCATAAGATCATTGACGTTTTTACTTCTAAATAATAAAATTGGCAAAACGTCTTCTTCATCGAAACGCTTGGTATCATTGTATGCAACCAACGTGGCATTTCAGAGTAATTTAATATTTATTTACGTTTGGTACCTGTCCCGCGTTTTCCTTCTCAATTTCTCATTTCATTTTATTCCGCCCACTTTTTTAGTTGTTACCTCAGCACCATTATTTTTTCATGAAGTAAAATGATAAAATTATTTGTTAATTTTTTCAATTAATTAATTGCGCAATAAAGTTGCAGTTAAATAATTAACGAATTATAATGTGACACATGAATATATAGAAATTCGTAGAGTCGAATATTCAAGTAATTCTATCTTATTTACCTTAATTAAGGAGTGAGACTGTGAGTGTTAGTAGAACAAACTTCTAGTCGCTTAAGCTTACTTTTTTTTTTTTTTTTTCATATTTATTCTAGGAATATTTAAGAGCATTTTACTTGCTTTATCACTTTGTCCGGTGCTTCTTCTTCAATCTTCAGCTCTTCATTGTTGCTTAATCTCTCTGTTTCGCACCCTAATCAGTGGTCTGGTTAATCTCAGCATTTATTTCTCAGGTAATTATCTACACTAACACGCACGCTGTTTCGCGGTTGTTGAATTCATTTACTTTATGGTGTGTGAACAGTAGACTGAAAGTTTGTTCGATTCTAGTACGTACTTTGTAGAAGACTAGAAGTCTTGCAGGCTGCAGCAGAGTGTAGACGCGATTTGCGATCATCATGTAGCTCCAGCACACTGACTTCAATTGAGGTATGCTGATCCTCGTGTAATTTTCTGCTTTAATTTTCTGGAAATTAGTCTGTTTCGCGCGGAATTATGGGTGATCGTAGGGAAAATGGTATTGAGAAGACGAAATGACAGGAAAGGAAGTAAAGTTGGATTTAGTTTAAGGCCTGTAGGGCTGTAATTTTTGTCTGCGGGAGTTTTTTTTTTTGAGAACTAGAAAGGAAACGAAGGGTTTGAAGTTTGAAGTGAAGCATACTTTATGAGTTTGAGTTTTGCTTCTTCAGTGTAGAGGGACTAGAATTGTGTGTGTATGTGCGTGCTTTTTTTTATTATTATTTTTTTTTGGTTTTGAGAACTAGAAAGTAAACGAAGGGTTTGAAGTGAAGCGTACTGTATGAGTTTGAATTTTGCTTCTTCAGTGAAGAGGGACTAGAATTGTGTGTGTGTGTGTGTGTGTTTTTTTTTTTTTTTTGTTTTTTTGTTTTTTTAAAATTTTTATTTTATCTCGCTGCTGCTGCTGTCTTTCTTGGGTTTGGAGTTGGGTTTAAATGATGTGTATATTGTGTTTTTCTTTGCTCTAAATGCTTTTGGGGAGTGATTCTGTGATTTGGGTTTGCTGCTTTCATTTCTAGCAGAAGAAATGAAGGTTAGAGAAAGGAAAGGAGAGGAAAGGAGAAAGGGGAGGTGGGGGAATCTATTCTGGAACATTGTAATGCTTTTCTGGAGCCATTTGATCCAGTGAAGTGGTTTTCTTTCCTTATTTTGAATTTATAAATATTAGTGTTTTAGGTGTGTACTACCACTCTTTTTTTTTTTCCTAGAATGAATTAGAGGCTTCAATTTTGTTGAGATCAAACTGTTCTATGGTGAGTGTTTTTCAGTTGCAAGTGAATGCTCCTGTAAAGGGGTCTTGACAGGTGAACTAGAGGGGGTTGGTATACAGCTTGTGGTGGTATATTTGCAAGGGAAAATGGCTTACCAAAGAAGGGGGTCAGATCTGCAACAGCAAAGGCGGATTATGAGGACACAGACTGCCGGCAATCTCGGGGAGTCCATGATGGACAGTGAAGTGGTACCATCATCTCTGGTGGAAATTGCCCCAATTCTACGTGTTGCCAATGAGGTCGAACCCAGCAACCCAAGGGTTGCTTACCTCTGTGAGTGCTCCTTCTGGATTAGTATTGCTTTTTAGTGTATCACATAGTTGCTAGATTGCATGATGTAGAAGAATTCACAGTTTTTGACTGAATATTTTTTCATTTTGGTTGCAATGTTTATATTTGCGTAGTCTTGAATTATGTTTATGATACATTTCTATGAAGAAAGTAATAGCAGTTTGATCAGAACATTGGTGTATAGTGATTAATTGTACCAGTGTTTCATTTTTGGACTATGTTCTATTTTTCTTGTAATGCCACAAAGGCCATAGGTGCCTTAAGGTGCTCGTGTTCTATTTTATAAAAACAGTGTTCTGACGAGCATTGGTTCATTGGCAGGAGTGTAAATGCTAGATATTTCTTAAAAGTCATCTGCCTGTACCATTTTCATATATCAATGCATTCAAATTCATAATAATTAAGAAAAACAGATTGTTCTTGCTTGCAGTGTCTATTTCAAAGTAACATGTGTTTGTATGTACTGTGTGATTTTTTATTTTGTGATTCTGTATATCTGCTCTTAACTTGCTTAGTTAGCAGGGCTGAAACCTTATAAAGTTCCACTTACCCCTTGTTTGAGCTTACAATGAGTTTTGATTCTGATTTAATTTTCATATTCGCAAATTGGACTCAGGTAGGTTTTATGCTTTTGAGAAAGCTCATCGATTAGATCCAACATCAAGTGGACGTGGAGTTCGCCAGTTCAAAACTGCCCTTCTTCAGAGGCTGGAAAGAGTAATTTCAGATTATTTTGCTGCTATTACTTTCCTTACCATGTTGTTGTTTCAAGCATTATGTTTGACTCTGGTTCATGTGACTGCTGAGTTGAACAAAGTCAGAGCTAAATGAGGCTCTTAAGAAATTAGGAGCGTAAAATTTGTCGTGACTTATTTCTTGTTGATTGATTTGGAAGCAATATACTGTTTAACTGTCATTAGCTTTTAAATTTATCCAGGAAAATGAATCAACTTTAGCAGGAAGGACAAAAAGTGATGCTCGTGAAATGCAGAGTTTTTATCAACATTACTACAGGAAGTATATTCAAGCTCTACAGAATGCAGCTGATAAAGCTGATCGGTAATAACCATGTGGTTACAGATTTTTGTAATTTACTCTATTGTTCGATCTTCACATGATGAACCTTATTTTCTTATTATTTATTTGTTTGGGTGTATCCCACTATACAGTGTGAGGCTTACAAAGGCATACCAAACTGCTGCTGTGCTTTTTGAGGTCTTGAAGGCTGTTAATCTGACAGAATCTGTTGAAGTGGCTGATGAGGTAGTCACTGAAACCTTTCCTTGTGAATTTAGTGCTTTGATTATTTCAACAAAGTTTATTGCCTCTTGTAAGGTCTGGTAACTTTTTCCATTGTATGACTTCCTCTTGTAAGTTCTGGTAACTTGTTCCATTGCATGACTTTTTACTGCTGCAAGTATTTATGTCGTTAATCATATGTTGGTCAGGTCCTTTCCCTTTATGTTCCTTTAATGCCTAGACTTATATCTGTAGATTTTGGAAGCTCAAGCGAAGGTTGCTGAAAAGACAAAGACACTGGTGCATTATAATATACTTCCACTTGATCCTGAAAGTTCAAATCAAGCAATTATGAGATACCCTGAGGTTGTCTCTAGTTTATATTCTTTTAGTCTTGATTTTTTGTTGATTCTAGTTTCCTCCATGTTCTAATATTGTTTACATTGATAGATCCAAGCATCTGTGGCTGCTCTACGTAATACAAGGGGTCTACCATGGCTGAAGGGCCATAAGAAGAAAGTAGATGAAGATATTCTAGATTGGCTTCAATCTATGTTTGGTTTTCAGGTTTTAGTGCTTGTTGCTGGGATTATCTAGGCTTAATGGGAAATTCAAGCTACATATTTGTCTAAATAACTCTGAATTTTTTGCCTTTTCCATTTCTGTTGATCTACATGCAGAAAGATAATGTTGCAAATCAAAGAGAACATCTGATTTTATTGCTGGCAAATGTGCATATTAGACAATTTCCGAAACCTGATCATCAACAACCTAAGGTTTGTGTGTTCCATTAAACTCAGCTTTGTGTATAGTGAAATGCCATCTAATGACTTAAAATTGCATCACTGTTATTAGTTGGATGACCGTGCACTTACAGAAGTCATGAAGAAGCTATTTAAAAACTACAAAAGATGGTGCGAGTACCTTAACCGCAAGAGTAGTCTCTGGTGAGTTTAGTTTTCATGTTTATACTTTATACGTATTAGCAGGAATGTTTTGGCCTGATACTGCCTTCTGTAACATCCACACCCCCCCCCCCCCCCCCCCCCCCCCAGGGGATCATAATTCAAGCACTGATTTTTGAAAAGTCTGTGATGTAATATTTTTGTTCATTATGCTTGGCATTTGCTTGCAGGTTGCCAACAATCCAACAAGAAGTGCAGCAAAGAAAATTGCTTTACATGGGTCTATATCTTCTTATCTGGGGGGAAGCTGCAAATTTAAGATTCATGCCAGAATGTTTATGCTATATTTATCATCATGTATGTATTAAATTCTGGGTATTTGTCTAAAAACAAAACAGAAATATATTTGCATATTTTTGATAAATTTTAAAAGTCTAATATTTTGTTATTACTGTTTTGGTCTTGCTTTGCATAAAAGTTTCCGTTATTGTATTTCCATTTCTTGTAGTGATGCAACAGATCTATGCAGTGCCAAATTTGTTTCTTTTTTTCCTTTTTTTTTTTTTTTTTTGGCCACAGCTAGTTTGTTAAAGGAAATGTTAATTTTTGAATTGCAATTTTATGTAGGAGCACATGCGTAAATGCTTCAAACTCCACTGTTGTTTCTTTTAACTAGAAAATGATTATATTTTGGAAACATGATTCAGTAATGTTAACATCAGGTTATTTTTACCTCTAAAAACTTGCGATCTTTTCACTAGGTTAACCATTTCATTTGTTATATTATAAGAATTTGATGGGTTTGGTTCTCATATGTTTTCAACTGAGGACATCCAGGCAGAATATGTGGAACTAGAAGCTTAGTTTTCTCTATGGTCCTGCTCCATTTTCTGTGTACTGTATTAGGTGTTTCATTTACTATAATTTTCAGGTACATTAAATATTTTTCATCTCAACCTTGCAGATGGCATTTGAACTGTATGGTATGTTGGCAGGAAGCGTTAGTCCTGTGACTGGTGAGACTGTCAAACCTGCCTATGGGGGTGATGATGAGGCTTTTTTGACAAAAGTGGTTACTCCTATCTACAACACAATAGCAAAGGTATTATGTTGCAACTTATTTCCTCAATTGTTGCACACTAAGGCACAAGCTGGCTTGGATTGATTAAAAACATATTATATAATTACTGTTGGGATGAGGAAGATATTTGTATCTTTTGTTTCTTCTGTTTGTTGTTATTTTTACTATGTATGATTTTGTTTTTGAGGACCTCTTGCCCTCTATGATGTAATTTTCTCTATCACTTTTGAAATCTTCTTTTGGAAAGGAAATTTCATTCAACTAAGATCCGAAAACAACGAGTTATAAAATCTTCTTATTATAAAGAAAAGTTAAAATATCCTTCCTGAGGGCATGGGAATATCTTAATGATAGTGGGATTTATTTTTTCTTTTAATCACAAAGGAAGCTAAAAGGAGTGGAGATGGAAGATCAAAGCATTCTAAATGGAGGAATTATGATGACTTGAATGAGTACTTCTGGTAGAATTTTCTTTGCATCTTCCATTTGTACTTAAACTCCACTTAGTTTCCAAAACATTAGATTCATATTTAGCATAGTAGTGCAGGTCGGAGAATTGCTTTAGATTAGGTTGGCCAATGCGTCTTGATGCTGATTTCTTCTGCCTTCCTGTTGAACGGTTACGAGATCTAGTAAGTAATATCATATACTCTTCCATAGTTTGATATGCATTACTGTCTGCCAGTTTCCTTCTCTTTAATCAGGTTAGCCTAGCTGGTTTGATGAAATCAATATATACCTGATTAATGCACCCTGTAAGCCCCAATTAATGTGTCTTGAAAGAAACAAAAATTTCAAAATAGAGTTCATGATGGTAATTCATTCAAGTTCTCTGTATTTTCCATTTCATAAGTTCAATGGTTGTACATGCCACAATTCTAATATTTGAAAATGTGTAAAATAAGCTTTCATTTGTCAAACTGATATTTCTACATTTAGGAAGGATAATTTTACAGTAGTCTTCCTCCTACACACTGTGATGGAAGTTTTCCTTGTATCGACTTTTAAAGTTCAAATGTCCTTATGATTGTATTATTTGCTCAACTTTTGACTATGCAGTTTGATTTGGAAAATTACACTTAGTCACACCCAGGTCAATTCAGCCATTAATGTTCTGTATCTGGATATTGATCATATGCAGGAAACTGAATCAGTTAAGAATAAACGGTGGATGGGGAAAATCAACTTTGTTGAGATACGCTCATTTTGCCACATTTTTAGGAGTTTTGATAGAATGTGGGGGTTTTACATTCTGTCTTTACAGGTTGGTCTTTGTGTGTTTGTGATTTTTCTTTTACCTTCATCCCTGTTCTGTTTGTTATTCCTGTGGATTTTTATGTGGTACTCTAAATTCTCTGCTGAAGGCAATGATTATTATTGCATGGAATGGATCCGGTGCACCGAGTTCTATATTTGAGGGAGAAGTGTTCAAGAAAGTGTTGAGCATCTTTATAACAGCTTCAGTATTAAAACTAGCTCAAGGTGATTTTTCTCTTAAGACATGTTATCTTGTTCCTATTTTTTAACCCAATTGAATATGAAGATTGTTTACTTTTATGTCACCCTTTGTATAAATTTTTTGCGTGCAGCTATTGTTGACATAATCATGAGTTGGAAAGCAAGACAAAGCATGTCAATCTATGTCAAGCTAAGATACATTCTGAAAGCTGTCTCTGCAGCAGCGTGGGTCATAATATTGCCAGTAACTTATGCATATAGTTGGAAAAATCCTCCTTCATTTGCACAGACAATAAAGAGCTGGTTTGGCAACAGTCCAAGTTCGCCTTCTTTGTTCTTCATTGCAGTTCTGTTTTACTTGTCCCCAAACATGCTCTCTGCATTGTTGTTTCTATTTCCTTTTATACGCCGTAATCTTGAGAGGTCAGAGTATAAGATTGCGAGGCTTGTAATGTGGTGGTCCCAGGTACAGAACCATCATTATGTATTTTATTGCAATTTCTTTTTCCTGCTTCTGACCCTCTTCATATTTCTTTTCCCCTATTTGGTTATGTTTTGATTGCAGCCTCGGCTTTATGTTGGAAGGGGAATGCATGATGACACATTTTCACTGGTCAAGTATGCTATTGGTTTGAATTCTTATCGAAATGAGCTTACTTGGCTTGTATGCTTGTTTTAGTTAATTATAATGTTAACAATTTTCAGATACACACTCTTTTGGGTTCTCCTCATGGCATCAAAGTTGGCATTCAGTTTCTTTGTTGAGGTGACATCCTCAATCCTTCCAATGTTATTATGATTGATATTTGATAGCAGTAGTGTGTGAGACTCTTGTGATGTGCTTCAGTAACCGTGATAGTAATCATTGCCCCAAACAGAAGTACAATATTTTAAAGCTTTTAACGTTCTTCTTTCTTGATGCACTCAAGGTCTTTATAAGCATGAAAAACGGGATAAGACCATATCAGAAATAACATTTATTATAGCCAGATATAAATTGCGCTTATGGAAGACAATTTGGAAAAAAATTGATTTAGTTGGTATGAACATGTGAAACAGAGACCATGGATGCAAAGACTAGGAAAGATTGATAACCTGGTAGGAATAAGATATAGGAGTGGGAGGGCAGGCTGCAACTTAATTAGAGAATAGAGATAAGTTAACCTTTGTTAAGAGTCCCACATTGATAAAATAAGAGAGAAAATATGGGTTTATAAGGCCATGAGTTAGACTAGTTAATTGGTTATATTTAATCTTTTAGTGCGGTTTGGCCAATGTGCATTATAGCCCAATTGAGTGACTCTATCCCAATCTTAGTTTATAACAACCTTAATGGCTCATACCGAAGTTAGTGCGTGATAGTTCTTGATGGAGACAGAACTCACATAGAAAAAGCCAACTAGATTGGGACTAAGGTTTATTTGAGTTCAGTTATGCACTTATGTAACCTTTCTGAGTTTCTGGTATCAAATACTATGTTTATCCAATATAATCAGTCAATCTCTTCTGCAGAAGGCTCTGGTCCAATCAATAAACAACTCTTATAAATGTTGTATCATCGTCATTGTTATGAATAAAATTATTTCATTTATCAGAAAATATATGAGCAGCATGCATCCCCTTTGGAAAAACTGATATGTTTAAAATTTATATTCCTGCAGATAAAGCCTTCCAAAAATTGACATGTTATATTCTTTTATATTCTTGCAGATAAAACCTCTTGTAGGTCCTACTAAAGAAATCATGCAGGTTCACATACAAAGATACCAGTGGCATGAGTTCTTCCCCCGAGGTAATCAGTCTTGTATTCTTTTGTATATGTTATTACTGGTGAAAAGATACTAAGTGTATATGATCTTTCCTTTGCAGCAAAGAAAAACATTGGTGTTGTGATTGCACTATGGGCTCCTATTATTCTTGTATGTGCTATCTCATTTATGCAGTTTCTTCCTTTTGCTTATTCATATCTCTAACGAAAGATTATTTCCAGGTCTACTTCATGGACACTCAGATTTGGTATGCAATTTTCTCTACAATATTTGGCGGTATATATGGTGCATTCCGCCGTCTGGGAGAGGTTGGTGGATCTTCCCATGCCATAATTTACTTTACTTTCATATGAATAAGCTGCCTTTAGTTTTAGCTTGTCTCTCTGAGGTTGTATCTGTTGAGATAATGAAAGCAGCCAAAGAACTGAACATAAGTAGTATATTGGCTGGTTACTATTCATGCTAGTAATCTTATTTATTCTGGCCCTTATTTATGGTTTGGAAATCTGATTCAATAACGTCAATGTCATCAAATCATTTTTACCTCTAGAAGTTGTGATCTTTTTACTGGGATATCCATTTCACTAATTGTATTCTGTTTATAAGAATGTGATGGATTTAGTTCTCATTTGTTTTCAGCTGAGAATGGATTATTTTCCCCCTTTCTGTTTTCAGATTCGAACATTAGGAATGCTTAGGTCTCGGTTTCAGTCACTGCCAGGGGCTTTTAATGCCTGCTTGATTCCATTGGAAAAGAAAGAAAAAGCTAAGAAGGGACTAACAGCGGCATTATCTCGAAAGTTTGATGAGGTTAAACGGATTATCAAAATTGATTTAGCAATATACTGACTTCCCAAGGCACAAGATCACATAATTGGTTCATTGACTGGTTCTTGCAGGTGACAAGCAGTAGAGGGAATGAAGCTGCAAGGTTCGCTCAGATGTGGAACAAGATAATTGAGAGCTTTAGAGATGAGGATCTGATAAACAATAGGTAGTATATGATATAGCTCCTGTAGGAGTAGGAGGATGCTATTTTTTTCTAACATCTTTTAACCTATTTCCTCACCTTTCCTGTTGTCTTATTTGAAATTCCCTCTTCTCCTCTACTGTTTCCCCTTCTTTTAACCTATTTCCTCACCTTTCCTGTTGTCTTATTTGAAATTCCCTCTTCTCCTCTACTGTTTCCCCTTCTACATTCACATCCCTTTTATACGTCTGAAATTGATTCTCTACATGACAGGGAAATGAACTTATTGCTTGTGCCCAGTAGGGCAGATAAGGACTTGGAAGACCTTGTTCAGTGGCCTCCATTTTTATTAGCTAGCAAGGTATGATGCCTCAGTAGTTGCTTCATTTTATCAACCTTCTTCCATAATTGTTTCTGTCAACTTTCTTGACTGAGTACGGTTAATATGCCTGCTATTTAGATTCCAATTGCATTGGATATGGCTGAAAATAGTGATGGGAGAGGTCGTGAGCTGATGAAAAGATTGAATGCTGACACTTACATGCGCAGTGCAATTCGTGAGTGTTATGCTTCCTGCAAAAGCATTATCAATTATTTGGTTTTGGGTGAAAAGGAAAAAGCGTAAGTCTACTATCAAAAATGTCTATTCAAATATTTATTTTTGTTGGAGATTCCCTGTGCTCCAAAAATGCAAAGTGGAGAGGCAATAAAGTAATCAGGCCTCCATTATTTGTGGTTGATTACCATATTGTCCCCATTTTCCATTTCTGGAAACGCATGACAAACATGAAAGAAAATTCCTTATTCTTGAATATCCACGTACCTAGGCACATATATTTCTTGTAAACAGTGTTTGCTTGAGAGGATTTCTCATTAGTTATCAATTATATGCAGTGTTATAAATGAAATTTTCTCCAAAGTTGATCATCACATACAAGAAGGCGACCTGATAAAAGAATTTAACATGAGCGGTCTTCCTATCCTCTACCGAAAATTTGTGGAGCTTATTGAGATTTTGGTAAAGTATTTGACACTTAGGTCAGGGTATTTGGTACCCATTTATTTAGGGGTATTTTTATAGATCATTGTTAATTGCTTAATAATTGTTGTGTATTGGTTGTAATTTATTGTATGCTCGTTGTATTAAAAAAGATGTCATAAGTGTGCATTTAATGGAAAAATATGGCTGCTGAAAAGTCTTACCATAATGTAAATAATTTCACAGAAAGAAAATGAGGAGGAGAAGAAGGATCAGCTAGTTATTGTTTTGCTCGATATGTTAGAGGTTGTAACCAGAGATATAATGCAAGACTATGTTCCAAGGTAAATTGTGCAGAAGAATTTGTTTCCGTATGCATGTCTGTGTTGACTCATTTTCTGTTTATTATCCTGCTTGTGTAGTTTACTGGAATCTAGCCATGGTGGTTTTGGGCACGAGGAGATGACCCCTCTTAGTGAACATAACCAGTTCTTTCGTGACCTTAAGTTCCCTGTTACAGAGGAAACAGAATCATGGAAGGAAAAGGTAAGCTATTGCTTTATTTTTTCAAATCATTTTGACAAGTTAGAAAAACTAAGCCCAATGCCTAAGCAAATAGTTTAGCTTTGGTATTTGGGTTTGAGTTAATACCCAATATAGTCCTCCACTATGGTGGTTTTACTCAATATAGCTAAATTGGACACAAAAAGTCATTTAGGACTAATTGAGTAAAACCACTATAGTGGAGGACTATATTGGGTATTAACTCATGAAAGGAGATTAAAGAAGATGATGATCCTTGTTATTATAATCTAAGATTGGGCCAGAGTCACTCAACTAGGCTATAATGCATATGGGTTAAACCACACTAAAAGATTGAATCCAACCAATTAGCTAGTCTAACCCATGGCCTTATACACCCATATGTTCTCTCTTATTTTATCAATGTGGGACTTTAACAATCCTATTCTTAATTTCATGCTATTGAACAATAGAGCTTTTATTTCTATCTATTAAAAACTGTACAAAAGGTCCTATATATACACATGAGACACAGAAGTTGGGCTAAACCCACTACTGCAATCTAGGTTAATATTCAACACAATCGTAGTTGCATAGTTTCATATTGACCTTCAATTTACGTTAAATTTCTTATCATTTTCAGATTGGCAGGCTTCATTTATTGCTCACAGTAAGAGAGTCTGCAATGGATGTTCCAACCAACTTAGAAGCTAGGAGGCGCATTTCATTCTTCTCAAATTCATTGTTTATGGACATGCCCCCAGCTCCTAAAGTTCGCAATATGCTCTCTTTTTCGTGAGTATTCTTCAAATTGTATTACATTTCAGTTGCACACATTGACTCATTTGTGGAGTTAACGGCAGCATGGTTGTGTTGGTTTTTAGTAACAAATGGAGTACCACTTTTGGTCCCTTGACTGTAGTGACATTTCCATATTTAGTCTTTGACTATTCAAAAGTAGTTCATTGACTTTGTCAAACCAACCAAATTCAATCCAAAATGTTTGAAGGTCCTCACTTTTACGAAAGTCCATATTTTTTTGCATGTGGGGGCATTTTCAAGTTTGGACTGAATTTGGTCCATTTGAAAAAAGTTGAGGGATTACATTTGGTCATGAGAATCAAAATTCAAAAGACATCAATGGCAATAAACTGCAATAGTAAAACCAATGCACTTAATAGCATGGTATGTGCTATGTTGACAAGTGAATATACCATTTTCAGCTTGACTTGTTTCTTGTATTACGTGTGTCATGTGTATGTGAATGTGTGCTTTTCCTTATATTCCTTTGGATCTTTTGTAGTGTATTGACTCCTTACTATAATGAGGAGGTTCTTTTCACCATGGACTCTCTGTTAAAGCCAAATGAAGATGGTGTTTCTATACTCTTTTATCTGCAAAAAATTTACCCTGGTTAGTTTGTTTACTTAGGTCAATAATAATAGTATGCCAATACCATCAAATATACTTCTTTTTTTCCTGTTATGTTCTAGTCTGAATTCATCTGAGAAGGCTTACACAGATGAGTGGGACAACTTTCTGGAGCGGGTTCGCAGCAGTGAAGAAGATCTCAAGGGCAATACAAGTTTGGAAGAAGAACTTCGTCTATGGGTTTCATATAGAGGCCAAACATTGACCAAAACTGGTATAGGATTCTTTGTTCTTATTTTCAACTTTAGCAGCAACTTCATGCGATTGTTGACAATATGCTTTTGAATTTGATTGGTTCATTAAAAAAAAAGTTCGAGGTATGATGTACTATCGTCAAGCTTTGGAACTTCAGGCGTTCCTTGATATGGCAAAAGATGAAGGTGCTTATATATACAGTTGATATTGTTTTCACCTCTTTAAACATTTGACTTTTATTCATATATATATATTGCACTTTCTGGATTTTCAGAGTTAATGAGAGGCTATAAGGCTGCTGAATCTAATAATGAGGATCAAATGCGAAATGATAGGTCTTTAATGGCACAATGTCAAGCAGTTGCAGACATGAAATTCACTTATGTTGTTTCGTGCCAGCAATATGGCATTCAGAAACGAAATGAACGTAACAAAGCTCAAGATATATTGAGACTTATGATAAAGTATATTTCCCAAAATATTGTTGTTCTCATTTGTTTGTACTCTAGTCTTGTCCAGTATGGTAATTATCTCATCTTATTTGGCAGGTATCCATCACTTCGTGTTGCTTACATTGATGAGGTTGAAGTAACTAGCACTGAAAAATCCAAAAAGCCCGTTGATAAGGTTTATTATTCGGCTCTTGTGAAGGCTGTGCCAAAATCTGTTGACTTATCTGAGCCAGATCAGAAGTTAGATCAGGTACTTTCCTAAACATGAATGTTCTAACAGCTTTGATCTGCCACTTGATTATTGCGTTTTTTTAAAAACAAAAATTTCTTTTTGTTTTGTTGTCTCTAATCACATTTATAATGTTTGTGGAACTGTTCTTCCATTACTGTTGTTGATAGATGGCCATGTTGCCAGTCCTTGTATTAAAGTTTTGTGGTTGCAATGTTGCATACTCAATCAACACAACATACTCCACAACTAACCAAAAAAAAAAGTGAATGTATTTTAGTCTAAAACTTGGTGCTCTTCCAGATGAATCACTATCATAGCCAATCCTCACAATGTTCTTGCTAGGTAATTTATCGCATAAAACTTCCCGGCCCTGCTTTATTGGGTGAAGGAAAGCCAGAAAACCAAAACCATGCCATAATCTTTACTCGTGGTGAAGGATTGCAAACAATTGATATGAACCAGGTATTTAGTAAGACTATTTGATTTTACTTTGAGATTGGTGCTTTGGGCTTTTATATGATGTGAATAAATCCCCATTTGAAAGGATAACTACATGGAAGAAGCCTTCAAAATGAGGAATTTATTGCAAGAGTTTCTTAAGAAGCATGGAGTGAGGAATCCAACCATTCTGGGACTGAGGGAGCATATATTCACTGGCAGGTATTTGGACATTTCCCAAAATTATTCAACAAATTTATTGCTCCTTTGCTCTTGTAAAAATTTTATTGTCCTATGAGTTATAGACCTTATTTCTCATGCCGATGGTGTGAGCATACATTGTTTCTGAATCCCCGTATTTTGTAATGACTTGGTGTTTACTGTTTTTTCAGTGTTTCTTCACTTGCATGGTTTATGTCAATGCAAGAGACCAGTTTTGTTACAATTGGACAAAGGTTACTGGCCAATCCATTGAAGTAAGTATTTAAATTTATGATGGACATCATATTTTGTATTTTGACTGTAATTGCAGTCTCTAGAATTCTAGTTACTCTCTATAATTATATTCCTGTGATCCGTTATTCCTGGTTCCTGCTACAAATGGTTATAAAATCTATACGGCCTGATCAAACACTTTTACTAATTGATGACATGATGTTTGTGGTTCCTTAACATTTCAGGGTTCGTTTTCACTATGGTCATCCTGACATATTTGACAGACTGTTTCATCTAACAAGAGGTGGTGTCAGCAAGGCTTCCAGTGTTATCAACCTAAGTGAAGACATTTTTGCAGGCACTGTACATCAGATAAATTCCCATATACCTAGTATGTTGAATTCTGATTTTTGTCCTCTCAAAGAGTGATGTTTGGTGCAGGTTTCAATTCTACACTACGTGGAGGCAATGTTACACACCACGAATATATACAAGTCGGTAAAGGAAGAGATGTGGGGCTCAATCAAATTTCAATGTTTGAGGCAAAGATAGCCTGTGGAAATGGTGAGCAGACAATGAGTCGTGATGTTTACAGACTTGGACATCGCTTCGATTTTTTCCGCATGCTGTCATGTTACTTCACCACTGTGGGGTTCTATTTTAGTACTATGGTATAGATCTGCTCCCAGAGTTTTTGAAATTCTGTTCTAGTATATATTTTGTCATACTCAAGTGTGCCTAATTAATGTTCGCCTGCTTTGGCAGATAACTGTTCTTGTGGTATACGTATTTCTGTATGGTCGCCTCTATCTTGTTCTCAGTGGACTTGAGAATGGGTTGATTTCCCACCCAGCTATACGGGATAATAAACCTCTTCAAGTTGCTCTTGCCTCTCAGTCTTTTGTGCAGATTGGACTTTTAATGGCATTGCCGATGATGATGGAGATAGGTCTTGAAAGGGGTTTCCGCACTGCCTTGACTGATTTTGTACTGATGCTGCTACAACTTGCCCCTTTATTCTTCACGTTTTCTCTTGGTACGAGGACCCATTACTATGGAAGAACATTGCTGCACGGGGGAGCTGAATACAAAGGCACTGGTCGTGGCTTTGTTGTATTTCATGCCAAATTTGCTGAAAACTATCGCCTGTATTCACGCAGCCATTTCGTGAAGGGAATTGAATTGATGATTCTAGCTCTTGTGTACCACATATTTGGTAAACCATATAGAGATGTTGCTTACATCCTGGTAACTATGTCAATATGGTTCCTGGTGGGAACATGGCTATTTGCTCCTTTCTTGTTCAACCCGTCGGGATTTGAGTGGCAAAAGATTCTTGATGATTGGACAGATTGGAATAAATGGATTCACAACCAGGGTGGCATTGGTGTGCCACCAGCGAAAAGCTGGGAATCTTGGTGGGAGAAAGAACAAATGCATCTCCAGTATTCAGGGATGCGCGGCATCATCATTGAAATATTGTTATCACTGCGGTTTTTTATCTACCAATATGGGCTTATATATCACCTGTCCATCACAAAGAAATATAAAAGCATCTTGGTATGACCTAGGAATTCATTTGAATTTTTACACGTAATTTGGAATTGTCAAAACAAAGCCCCATTGCTTAACCTTTCACTTTTCAGGTCTATGGCATTTCATGGCTTGTAATTTTCTTTGTCCTAGCAGTAATGAAGGTGAGTTGGAAGATATTAATTTGCTCGTTCCCTTCTCCTTAAGATTTCCATATCTGCTCAGCTGCTGATCCACTTCTTCCTCTGCATGATTTTCTTCATCCTGTTCAGATTGTATCTGCCGGGAGGAGGAAATTCAGCGCTGATTTTCAGCTCGTGTTTCGGTTGATCAAAGGCCTAATATTCATCTCGTTCATGTCTGTTCTGATCACTCTAATAGCAGTCCTGCACATGACATTCCGCGACATCATTGTTTGCATCCTCGCTTTCATGCCAACCGGATGGGGATTGCTCTTGGTAAGTACCCGCCATCCCTTATCAAACACCTATAATAAGCCTGTTATGTTTATCATCGTTTTCATTGCTCCTCTCCCAACGTATATACTCCAACCTACAGATTGCTCAAGCGCTGAAGCATTGGGTTCAACGTGCTGGGTTCTGGGGATCTGTTAGGACACTGGCACGCGGTTATGAACTAATGCTGGGGCTGCTTTTGTTCACTCCAGTCGCATTCCTGGCTTGGTTCCCATTTGTGTCGGAATTCCAGACCCGCATGTTGTTCAACCAAGCATTTAGCAGAGGTCTGCAGATTTCTCGTATTCTTGGTGGTCCAAAGAAGGAGAAAGACAGCTCCAAAAACAGCAAAGAGTAGCTTCATTCGTGTCCATTGTAGCACTTAATTTAGTCGCAGGTTTTGGTCACTGTTTAGTGTTTAGGCTCATCACTGATATATAAAACTAGATCAGAATTGGTTGCATGTCTATAAGTTTCTGTTTAGAGTTTGGATTATTGTAAGGATCTTTTGTAAATATATACATGTAATAGAGTAAGTTTGTAATTATATATTTATATAATATATAAAGTAGGTAAGAAATGCAAAATTGCATGGCTATAGATGCTCTATGCATTAGGATACTTGAACTTATTAGTTGCTAAATAAAGCAGGACTAACTCCAGCTAAGTTAACAATCATAAGATTTTAAGTTTAATTTTCGTGAGTTGTATATTGATTTTTTGTTTTTATTTGAGTTAGTTGGTTATGTATAATCTAAGTTGACTTATTTTAGTTTGTTGTCAATAAAGATCACAAAACGGTTAAGGACACATCTTTAAATAGGTGTTGCAATTTTTTCATAAATTAAATTAAATTTGAGATTAATTAAAGAAGAAGTAACTTTTACTCTTTTTTTTTTTTTATGTGCATATACAATTTTTTTAAAAGGAAAAAATCCAATGAGAAATTAATTAATGAATAAAATAAGAGTAGTAATCTGTGTACCTCACCAGTAGGGGTGTGCAAATTTTGGTTAACCGACCGAACCGACGTAATTCGGTTAACCGTTTTTTAACCGAAATATTTCGGTTTGGAGAATGGTTAAAGGTTTTCCCAAAATTCGGTTAACGGTTAATTCGGTTCGAAAGTGTCGGTTAACCGAATTAACCGACCGGTTAACCGAATTTTGGAATATATATATATATATAATATATTAAATATTAAATATAAATATATAATATGTACTAAAATCCCAAATAGTCAAATGGATTATGGACTTATGGTATTGTTTTTGTATGTTTTGATATGAATTTATTATGATATCTATTTTATTTTAATTGAATTTATTATTTTAGGAGTTATTTTTAGGATTTTTAATTTTAGGGTTAAAAATTTCGGTTAATCGGTTAACCGACCGATTAACCGAAAAAAGTTCGGTTCGATTAATTCGGTAGATCAAATTTTGATTCGGTTAACGGTTAAGACAAAAAAAAATTCGGTTAATTCGGTTCGGTTAAAACGGTTCGATTAACCGAACGGTTAACCGAATGAACACCCCTACTCATCAGTCGCCAGTCATAAAGTATATATTACGTCAGGGCAAAGACAATGGACCCACCGACGCAGATGATGCAGCCACGCATGGCCACATTCTCATGGTTATCTGATCTTCTTCCCCCATCATCGCCCACGTGCACTTCACGTGTACATCGTACTCATTTCAGCAGAAAATTCCATCTGACCCACTTCCTTCCTTTGTGAAGAGTTTCATTCCGCAAAAAGATTTCTCCAAATTCCAAAAGTGGAAAGAAAAATTCTGTGATTGTTACTTCAAACCTTCGATCTTCGTCTCCTAGCTCAGCGGTTGAAATTTGAGATTTTACTGAGTTTTCGTACACTTTCTGGGGTGATTTTACGACTGTATTGAACTGTTGATTTGCTAAACTTGAATTTACTGCCGGTCAACGGTCATGAATCGGAGCTACTTGCCGTGGCCTCCGCCATTGCCGCCGCCGTCAGCTGGGAGGCTGCGTCTACCGGCGACGGAAAATCCGCAAGAAATTTTAGCCTCGCAACGCCACAAGTTTACTTGCGCAAGTCTCAGTCGTAGCAATTGGAAGCCGAAAAAGCCCTACAAAGTTCACGCGGCTGAAACCTCTGATTTCCAGCAAGCCAGTAGATATAATAAGAAAGGTCGCAGGTTTTTTCAGAAGAAGAGGCAGCAGAGGGAGAGTTGCGATTTTGAGCCATTCACGCCCCACAACACGACGTCGTTTCTGATAAGGGCTAAGAGGTCCGGCGGAATAGCCTCCTTGGTGTCGCCGTACCCGGTTACGCCGTCCGTCCTCCCCACGCCGAAATTCTCGCCGTCGAGGGAGGTTTTGGCGGAGGTGGCGAAGGAAGAGTGGGGCGTGGACGGATACGGGTCGATGAACGGGCTGATCCGACTCCGATCGCCGGAAAATGGAGCCGAAGGAGAAGGCGTTATCGATTCGTGCGAGAGCGAGGTGGAGAAGCGGTTGAGCCATGACCTCAACCGTTTCGAGATGATTTACGACCCGAATTACGGCAACGGCAACCAAAACAGAATCCTGTACAACGTCGACGGCGTGGACGAGCACATCGAGAGGTTAGAAGAGGAGAACATGGTTTTGAAGGAGAGAATATACATAATTGAGAAGGAACTGGGGGAGTTGCGCAGGAGAATGCTGTGTTTTGAAGCGGAGGACGAAAACGGTGAATCGGAGAATGACGTCGGCGGCGGGGGCTCGGAGGGGAGCGTTGGCGACTGAGCTGTAGGCTGAACTCCAAATTTAGGCCAGCCGATTATAGTCGCAGATTAGTTTCCTCGCATTTTCTGTAGTGTATAGAGTTTCCCAATCTTCTCTTTAATTTTCTGTTTTGTAGCTAGGCAAAATGTTTGTGGAATTGTGGGTTAACGTTGTGACGGTGCATATTTTGTGACGACTGATGATGATGTTAATAATGTAGGGGTTAACATTCTCGTCGCTAAATTGTTGCAGCCAAAGCCATACGCGACATCATCACATCATTGCATTGTTATAACCAGTAGAGACTCGTCACAACTTTCTTCAACATCTTCCATGTATGCTATGCATCAGCAAAATCCTTATAAAATTCATATGTAGACATTTTTAGTAGTTCTAGAAGTGGCTGGGAATGGGTTACTTTCATTATTAAAGATTGAACTTTAATCTCAACTGTTATTACTGTTTCTACTTAGAGATATATGGTGGAGATATAAATTATGAAATGTGTCCTAATTGGCTTTTGTAAATTTATAAATGCTTATACACTACCTGCATGGTAGCTCAACTGGCTTTTGTAAATTTATAAATGCTTATACACTACCTGCATGGTAGCTCAACTGGTCACAAAAGTAAAAAAGTTTGAAAGAATAATCAGGATTGAATATCACCAGCGGCAATGTGAGAATTGGGATTAGCCTTTTGGAATAAATGCTTATACACTACCTAAATGCTTATACACTAAATTTGAAATTGGAATATAAAGAATTCGATCGACCCTTCATCCTGCTGACATCTCAATTTGGATGACATGTATATGGGGTGTTATTGACACGTTTCAAATTGGTGATTCAATTGTTGGGTTTTTAGATAGTTTTTGTTAGGTATATCTAAAAAGAGAGGGAAGAGGAAAAAAAATGAAAAAGAAGAAAAAAGATGACAACAAGAAGTAAATAAATTAATAAAATAACTTGTGCCCGTATGGGTAGCTCAACTGGTCATAGAGGTGAAACTTTGAAAGATGACCAAGGATCGAGTCTCACTAGCGGTAGTGTGGGAGTAATCTTTCCTTTATGGTTCATGTTCAGTTGAGTCACCATGATTTTTGTCGATGTGGGGGGGCCGCCTTTTGGAAAAAGTGAGGGGACTCCTTGTGCGCAGTATGGTTCATGTTCATGCTCTGTCTGGGGGGGGGGGGGGGCTTTGCAGCAGGTGTACATGGGCCCATAAAAGATCAGTGCCAATGAAGAGAAAGGAAAGCCTATAGATAGTTATATAGATAGCTATAAACGAGTCCAGGAGGCCGGTGCGAACGAGGAGTGGTTCATGTAACGAGTCCAGGAGGCCGGTGCGAACGAGGAGTGGTTCATGTTCATGCTCTGTCGGGATGGGGTGGGGCGTTGTTATTGGTGCGTGCAGTATAAGCAGCAGGTGTACATGGGCCCATAAAAGATCAGTCCCAATGATAGCTATAAACGAGTCCAGGAGGCCGGTGCAAACGAGGAGTCGGCTCAGCAAGATAGTTGTTGGTATGCCCAGTACGACTGCCCAACGACCTCTAAGTATGATAAGGCCACATTATGGCACTTTAATGTACGCATTTAGAATTAATTAACAAGGGTGACCCACTATAAAAGGAGCCCTTTGAGAATGTAAGAGGGGAGCCAAGTCGAATTGCCCAAAGAGTACCCAAGAAATATACAGAAAGTCATAGCTATTTTAATTTCCTTGCAAGTCCCATAATTTGTTTGAAATGTGAATTCACCGACCACGGTTGTGTTGGACCTCCCTAGGCCCAAAAACTCAAAAACCAACAAAAATAACTCCTAAAAAAAATCACTTCTCATTAGTTAAAAATCTCTGTCAAAACTTTTTTTTTTTTTTTTTGAAAAGCCTTCCAAAAATCTATTGATGAGTTGCTCTTAGAGGGGTGATATTTTATTAAAATAATTAAATATAATGATACTCTTGAGATAACTATTTCGAATATAATTGAAAAAAAAAAAATCTATTAAATTAATCTCATTCTTTAATTTATAGGAAAGTTTATAGATGCTACTCCAAAATGGGCCTTATGGGTGAAAGTCATGTTATTATGACTCTAGTCAGCAAGTAATTAATAACCTCAATAGAAAGTTTTTACAGAATTTGTCTCAGTTTGTGATATACTAATAGTCTAATACTAGTGCAATTCAAGTAAAACAACCAAACAAGTTCACTAATTTTGAACCAACATAGTTTTACTAGAAATCAATCTTTACTCGAGACAAGACATAAGTTATCATCCTCAGCCTTAAGGGGGCGTTTGGTTCACGGAATTTTGGATTACCCCAGGTAATAGGATTACCTCCGGGAAGGTAATGTGAGATTTTGGGAATGTAAGATTACCTTGTGTGTTTGGTTCTGATGGTGTAATATAATATTACCTTGTTTGGTTCAGGGTTATATTTTAGGTTATATGAATCAATTTACAATAATGCCCTCAATAATATATATATATATATTATGTGTGTGTATTTATTTGATTATATAAACATATATTAATTTCATTATATTATTATTATTATTATTATTATTATTAGTTAACAAGGGCAAAGTTGGAATAATTCAAGGTAATATAAGATTACCTAAAAAAATGGGGGTAATCACATTACCTTGAAACATTACCGCCACATCAGCTTTCAGGTAATATAACATTACCTGGTAATCTCATAACTTGAACCAAACAATGTAATATAACATTACCAGACTCAGATTACCTAGGTAATCCAAGATTCCGTGAACCAAACGCCCCCTAAAGAAAATGTATGCCAATTTTGAATGAGAAAGTAAAAGTACAAAGTAATAAAACTTGAGAGTTAAATAGTATATTTTTCCAAGAAAGAAACAAAATTTCATTATTCTTTTCAAAAGGTTGAATACCTAACCCCAAGACCCACACTCCGGACACATAGGGAGGATAGATTTCATTATTCAACAATGAAAATAATCGAAAGAAAGAGACATGAACAAACAAAACATACAGTTGGTCATCAGATCGATCCTTCATGAAAGGAACGAAAACATGATATATATATATAAAGGAGAGAAAGAGACAATAATATATATATAATGCAAAACCATATCCATGCGCAGATCATCCAATGTAGTTATTGTTGTTTCTAGCAAACTCATATGATGTCGTTCCGACAATGCTAAGCTGGTTCTGACCACCCGCCATTCTCTGAATCTGCTGGTTGTACATTCTCCTTCTCCGCTCCGCCAGATCCTCGGCGGCGCCGCGGCCGGCACCTCGACCCGCCATCATCGGCTGCAGCAAAGCCACCAGTTTCTTCTGCTCCGCCAGAATCCGTTTCAGAAAGTTCAAGAAGTAGAGTTCCCGGTCGTCCCGCGCTTCCGCGTCGTGCAGGCGAGCGCAGCGGGAGTGGAGGTGGAAGTTGCAGAGGCGGCAGGAGTAGGCGAGGCCGTCGCAGGCGTCGCCGCAGGTGTCGCATTGGGCGGCGGCGTGTTGCGGCGGCGAGAAGAGGGTGAGGGTGAGGGCGTGGCGGGGGTGGGATTTGTGGTGAGTGGATTGAGGGAGATCGGAGCAAGATTTATGGAGGAAGAAGTTGCAGCGTTTGCAGGCGTAGCATTGGCCGAAGAGGTAAACCTCGCAAGCTGAGCAATTGGATTGGGTGTTTTGTGTGGGCACTTCTATGAGGTGGAGTTCATGAGGGTGGCTGAAATGCTTCATCTTTTCTAGCTCCAATAATTTCCCTAATTTTATCAATTTGATTGAGAGCTTTTTGCCTACATTCAATTCACAATATAATGCTTACTATTTATACATGTTTAAGGCCTTGTTTTAGTGATTATATATAATACAATATATAGCTTATATATGAATGTCTAAGTCTAGCCAATTTTGCCAACTCATGCTTTCCTAACATGGAGTTGTTAGTTGGATTGTTATTGGGTGTGAACTCGAAGAGTGGAGTCTACTATTTTGTCATCCAAATATGGTGTTGACCGATACATAAATATAAAAAATAAAGTTATGTTACTTCTTCGTTATTGATGACTATAACTTTTGGTGTAATGGTAAATGTTTGTTTTGATAAACTCTTGCATTGACTACTAATGTTTGATCTGAATTGTTAAACTCTTGCATTGACTACTATGTAAGTATAAAAAAAAAAAAAAATTTACTTCGTTACTAGCTAGTTACGGTATAAATTTACTTTTGACATGTGGAAGCCTTTGAGTCTAACCATTATTGTCATAATTAATTATTGCACATTTGTGAAGCTAGTTTCACGCGGTACCCTCCATTCTAAGGACAGAGAAGCCTCCACCTTCATGGAGACTCCTCAATCAACTCACCACTTGGAATGGGTAGGCCAGAAGATAGCATAGCAAGTCCAGCCTTTAGGGCAAGCTCAACTGTTCCACCATCTTAATGCTCCCACTCGGGTTATAGGCTCGCGCTACCAAGCCCAGCGATAGTAGTTTAATTTATGAGTAAGGATAGATCTAGTACTTGACTCGCTACATAATCTCTATGATGAGTGTAGCCACGAGTTAAAAGTGCAACGGAAAATTATATATAATTGAACACATTCAAAGAAAAAGATTGAGCCATTATATTGGTTGTCTTGCCAAAACCCTACATCACTTATGTATGTTAATTAAGGGTGTTACATTGATTGAGGAGTCGTCATAAATTTTGTATGACATACTAATATACGACATTTATGTTTTGTGGTTTCATATTATTTGTTTAGCAAGTGTACAATATAATGAGACTTACTCAATAGATAATTAGAACACAAACTTAATAACTTAAATCACCAGATCAAAGACTTGAAGGGATACAACGTGATAACCTTACATGTATGTATATCAAAAAATTTCCAAAATTATTGCAAGTCAATGCTCTCTTAAGAGTTGAATGTTTCTAGCTCTTGCAGCCAACTGTATGTGTGTATATATGCATGCACATAGTTTGATCTTTAAGACTTGTTGGAATGGGGAGTAAAAAATACGTACAGTATTTAGAATGTTTCAAAAGTCAATGCAGATTTCTAAAATACAACTTGCCTCAATAATGGGGATATATTCAATTCCTTATTTAATTTGTACGTGTAGTTAGGCTTGTGTAACGTTACGCTGTGCAACGGTGTGCACTGGCCATGCAAGGTGCACACAATTTCAATTCATAATTTTTATATTGTAGATTCATAAAATTTATAGGAATAAGGTTCAAATTGGCCACTGAACGTAACCTGAAAATGCAATTAGGTCACTGAACGAAAAAAAAGTGCAATTAGGCCATTGAACACTCAAAAAATGTGCAATTAGGCCACTGAACTCTTCAAACGTATGCAATTTTACCGGATAGCAGGTTACCATCAATTTTAGCAGGTTACCTGCTTACGTGGCAGCTTAGTTGACATTTTTAATAATTTTTAAATAATTTTTAATAATTAATTTTAATAATAAATTTTATAAAAAAGTGGAAAAAATTAAATAAAAAATAAAATAAAGTCGTTTTTATTTTTTAAAAAAATTTTTAATAAAAAGTTATTATTAAAATTTATTAAAAATTAATTAAAATTTATTAAAAATGCCAACTCAGCTGCCACGTAAGCAGATAACCTGCTAAAATTGAGGGTAACCTGCTATCAGGTAAAATTGCACATTTTTGGAGTGTTCAGTGGCCTAATTGCACTTTTTTTTCGTCCAATGGCCTAATTGCACTTTCAGGTTACGTTCAGTGGCCAATTTGAACCTTATTCCAAATTTATATTTATAAATCGTAGATTCATAATTTATAAATCGTAGATTCATAATTTTTATACAGTAGATTCATAATTTTTATACAGTAGATTCATAATTTCTAAACTGTATGATTATCCGATTATGAACATATAGTTCTGTGATATGTGAATACATAGTCCAACAATAAAGAATTATGAATATATAATTTTGTAATTGTGAATATGAAGTTCAAAAATTATGAATATATAATTCAATAATTATGAACATATAATTCAATAATTATGAACATAAAATAGTGTGCACGGTTGCACAGTATAATTTGCCTAGGTTTGTCAAGTGGGCCAATTATATAATATAATGTTTTTTTTTATAAGTTATACGGTCGTTAAATCTGATATGGTTCTAGTCTATCTAGAGGAATACATTTGAATTAAAGGACATGGGTCACTTAGGACTTAGGGAGGCGAGAGATATGACTTAAAAATCAAAATGAAAACACGCCCAGTGGGACTCGAACCCACAATCGCTTGATTAGAAGTCAAGCGCCTTATCCATTAGGCCATGGGCGCTTGTTACACCTTTTCAAAACAGAACGATTTTATCCGTAGAAAAAGTAGGTCGATATTTGCTATAACTACTTCTATAGCTCACTTTCCAATACTTGTAATGGCTTATCGGCCCTTATCCCAGTGTTAATGTTTAAATAAATATCCAGATGTTACATTCCTCTCTAAACTTTATCTCATAGTATTCACCTGTGACAAACTGACAATACTTGATTATCATTTTTTGATTAAAAATTAATTTGTAAGGCGATGATGTGAGATTGGTCAATTTATGATAATACTTGTTTTTTTTTTAATTAAAAAGTAATTTTTTTTTAGGCGACAATATGAGATTGGTCAATTGTATTCACAATGATGGAGCAGTGGGCTAGTTAAAAACCTACTATACATATAAGCTAAGGGCTAGTTAAAAACCCTTCTTATAAGTAGGGATGAACATCGATCGGTTTTTTATTAATAACCTAAATAATCGGAAAAATAGTAACCTTCGCATAATCGAGGTATTTCTTATAACCGAACCGATCGAAAATCAAAATTTTTGGTCGGTTAAGTTCGTTATTTTTAACCAAAGAAGTACGTACTAATTAAAATCTACACTACTGCAAGTAATTGAGAACTTCGAGCATAATAATTGATTTGTATTTCTAGGATTCATAACCTGTCAGGACTCTATTAACATATGTTAAACCACAAACCAATAGACACGGAAAATGATATATGTACTCTCATGAAGTATAAACTCCCACCACGTGTACTAATAAATTAAAGTGAATGAAAAAAAAAAAAAAAAACAGTGCTCCACTTTGTTATTTAAACCAATCAAATAATGACATTTCAGCAACGAATACTGAAATAAAAAGTGGGAGTATATGTAATATTACTTCAATAACACATATATATCAGACATTTAAAAATAAAAATAAAAAATTAAGAGTACAATGGCTACCAATAGTATGTACTTAATTAAATAGTGGCTAAAAATATGAATATTTTTCCTTGTCTCAAATCCCAAACGTAGAAATAAAGACTTTCAAACATTAATTTTATTTTTACATTAAAATATATTATAAAATTACTAATTTTTTTTTTCATTTGTTTAAGTATTGGTGTTTCGGTCGGTCATAATTTTTTTTCAAAAAAATCAATAACCGACCGAAAAATCGAAATAACTAAAAAATTTTGAACTAGAAAATCGATTACTGAACTTTTTGGGCGGTTTGATTATCGGTCAACGAATTTTCGATCAGTTTGATTTGTTTGTCACCCCTACTCATAAGTACATTATTCTAACTCATAAAATTTCCAACATCGTTTTAGACCGTGGTCTTCACAGTCTACACAATAATTTGCCATTTTTACCCTCTTCGCGTTGGGTTTGGGAGCAAAAAACCATCACCACATATAACTAATAGATTTTATTTATTAAATTAAAATGAAATGAACTTAGGGAATAATTTTTTTTAAAAAAAATTAATTCTGCGATAAATTGGGAATAAATTAATTTGAATTTCACGAAAACTTGAACTCTATAGGGCCGCCGCCATTGACAAGAAGCTGAAGCAGCGCCAACTTCATCTGAGCTTCCTGAATCGCTGCCGCCGCCGCTGCGTCGTCGTCTACCGGTTTATCCACCGGCGGCTGCACCTTCGAGACCACGCAATCTAAGTGAGTTCCGAAGTCGCATTCGTGACAGTAGTAAGTCCACGCCATTTCGTGCACGCCGTGATGGCAGACGTCGCAGACAAACGTCACCTTCTCCTCCTCATCCTCGGCCGCCGGCTCTTCTCCGTCCTTCTTCGGCACCGGCGGCGCGTAAAAGAGCGACAGCGCGTGCTCGTGGTCGTCCCGCTGCACTTTCTCCGGCCAGCGCACGCACTCCACGTGGAGATCGAACGAGCACGTGGTGCAGTGGTAGACGAACGCCGAGCCCTTCTCCAGACAGGCGTTGCACGCGAAGCCGTCTTGGTACGGCGGAGAGGGGAGGAGCGTGAGCGCGTGGTCGAGGTGGGATTTGTGCCGGACTTCTCTCGGCAGTTCGAAGCATTTCTTGTGGAGGTGAAAGTCAACGCCGCAGTCCGGTTCAACGCAGGTGTAAACCGGACCGGTTACGATGTACTCGCAACCGGAGCACTTTTTCCCGTCCTTTTCTTGGACTTCCGTCAGCTTCAAGCGGTGGGGATGGCTGAAGTGAGTCGTTTCCCGATCTTTTCCCGTCGGAAACCCTACCGGCGGCTCAGACTCCGGCTCCGCCGGCGCCGGGGAGTGAACAGTAGGGGGACTAAAATTGGGGATAGGGTTAGGGTTTGGGTGGCTGCAAGGGATAGGTTGATTAGGGATAGGAGAATAAGCGCAATGAACATGGAGATCAAAGTCACATTCGGAGCAAGAATAGGAAAACCCACTTCCAATGAGGGTGCAAGAATTGCAATAGAAAGAGTTGGAAGGGTAGGTGGGGTAGGGGGTCAATGTCAATGGGTGGAGAGGGTGGGAGGGGTGTTTGAGAGAGCGATTAGCCCGAAAACATTGGTCGTGGAGGAAGAAGGAGCAGCGCCAGCAGGTGTAGACAGGGCCGGTCCCGAGGCAGTGGCAGCCGGAGCATTGGATTTGGGCACTTTGGGGCATTTGGTGGAACACCAAACCATGGTTGTGGCTAAAATGCTTGAACTCCATCTCTCTCTCTTTGTGGAATGTCTAGTAATAGTATGCCTTATACATGAAATGGAGTAGGCAAGGTGTACTTATGCCCATCACACAAGCTAAGCAAGTTGAAGCACTACTCTTAATTAGCTTATGTCAACTTTGACTAGATGGACAACTTTGCTTGCACAAATACTTGTATATGATAGTTCACATAGGGACAAATTCATATTGATTTAGCGATAAGATTCTGCGTAGTGCAATAGTCAATAGGGTGCAAGACTTTCCCTCAGAGATAAAATGACTAGCTAACTTGATGGAGAAAATTAATCAGGGAATTGGAATGCAAAGACAAGTAAAATGATCAAAAGGACAATGGAATTACGATGTTTTCTTGCTATTATATTGATTATTATTATTATATTACTTGAATATTACAATATATATGAAGTGTTCGTTAGAATGAGACAAAAGGTGTTTACACAAGCTGCTAGACAAGAAATTGACAATTGTAACTGCCAATATTGACCTCCGACCCATATCCTTTGGCTATGACCTCGGTCGACCCAACTCCGATGTTAGACCTTAATTGAGTCGATCCTAAGGTCGAGCTCGGTCTAGCTGACCCATGATCATCCACTTTGGGCTTACTCTCTTAGACTTGATTTCTTGAGCTTGTTTTCGTAGGGCAAGCACAATATATCCATCAAAACTTTCTATTGATTAATTTATAACTTTAAATTTGGGGGATTGGAAAATATAATATTTTCATTATTAGCTCAACTTATTCTTCATCCTAACTAGTAGTAGACTAGCTGTAATAATCGACCATTGACTTTGACATTATATTCTACAGAGTGTTCCATAGAATTTTAAAGTTGGACTGCTGACTTTTTCAACTCCATCTGTATCTATCCACCCATCTCCCTTTGTTACATTATTCTCATTTTTAATGTTAATGTTTGAATTCTCTGTAACTTCATTCTGTAGCTGGTTGGCTACTTTGCTTGACTCTGTGACATCCCATACTTAGGACTATCAAAATTTTAAAGTTTGAGGGATAAATCATGAGGTGTAATTCCCGGCCACATTAAGATCGGACTATCAAAATTCAATCATATATCTTTGTCTACAATTTATCATCCATAAATGAATTGAGTTGGCCGACTTTACAAAACCTTAATTAGCTCAAGGGTTGATGATATATGTAAATTAAACCAACAATAATATACTAATTTTATTTAATTTTATAATTGTACAACATGATTAAAAAAAAAAAAAAAAAGTCAAATAGACCCTCAAACTTTAACTTAAAAGTCAATTAGGTCCCTAAACTTTTTAAAGGTGCAATTACACCCATCAACAATTCATTTAGGTGCAATGAAGCCCAAAAACAAGTTAATGACCTGCTATCACAGGTCATTAGGGTTTAGATCACCTCCCGGCGAAATTTCCAGCAAAAAAAAAAAAAAAAAAAAGTGACCGGCGAAATTTCCGACAAAAAGGTAACCGGCGGCGACCGTTCGTCGGTCACCGGTAATTTTTTTTTTTTTTTTGTCCGAAATTTTGCCGGTCACTTTTTTTTTTTTTTTTTTTTTTTTCCAGAAGGTGGCCTGAACTCTAATGACCTGTGATAGCAGGTCATTAACTTGTTTTTAGGCTTCATTGCACTTAAATGAATTGTTGATGGGTGTAATTGCACATTTAAAAAATTTAGGGGTTTAATTGACTTTTAAGCTAAAATTCGGGAGCCTATTTGACCATTTTCACTGAAAAAAAAAATGAAGTTGCAAGCAAATTATTCAAGTTTACAATAACCCAAGATTAAACAAGATTCTAAAGTGATTCAACACATCATGATCATCACCAACGCCTCATCATGTTTGCATATGCCGCACTTAAATTCAGCGAATTCTGCATCCTAGCGGTCGCAAGCTGAAGCTCCATCATCTCCTTCGTCGCCTGCCTCATCGCCGCCACCGGATCATTAACTCCGGCCGCCGTTTCGCCGCCGTCATCACCCACGCGCTCTAGATACCCCACTCCCGAGCAATGCAGGTGGGTTCCGAAATCACACCCAGCACAGTAATATCTCCACCCCCCTTCATCCACTTCCCGATTACACACGTCGCACAGGAACACGGTGTTCTCCTCGGACTTGTAATCGAACACCAGTTTCAGCGCGTGCGGGTGCTTCTCCGGCAGGGTGGCGGTTTCCGGCAGGGAAGCGCAGTGGAGGTGAACGTCGAAGCCGCAGTGGCAGCAGCTGTAGCTGAAGGCGGTTCCCTTGGAACGGCAGGCGTCGCAGACGTAGTCCTTGCCGGAGTAAGTCGGCGCCGGGAGGAGCGTGAGGGGGTGGTCGGGGTGGGCGGCGTGTTGGAGAGAGCGCGGCGCGTGGAGGTAGTAGGCGCAGGAAATGCAGCCGTGGAAAGGATGGTCGATTGGAAGCTCGCAGCCCTTGCATGTCAGCCGTTCTCCGTCGTCTAGGGCGAGCGGAACCAACGTGTGGCGGTGGCCGAAGTGGTCGTAATCTTGGTTTTGGCTCATCGTCCGTCGTCGAATGTTGTCGTCGGTCGGTGATCTAGCTTTGTACGAGGCTATGCATCTTGAAAAACGCCAAAATTTATACTACTACTATACATGTAGTAAAATCGTTACCATGGGTACATAGTTGATAATACAATATTAATATTCATTTTAATACTCCATATTAGAGTGAGGAGGAAAATCTACTGTCTAAGTCTGTACACAGTAAATCATACTTTGTGATTCTAATCAAAAAATAAATCAGACTAAGTGGTTTATAACTAATTTTTTTTGAATACGGTTTATAACTAATTAATTGAAGCTAAAAAAATTATTAGGCTCTCCGATCTATTGAGAGTCAAACTTCAAACTATGATGTTACCAAGTTGTTATTATTATTATTATTATATCTTGTTCTATCACTCTATGCTCATTTCTATACAGTCCAAACTCCAAAGTAGACATTTAGTGCTGTGGGTATATATGGTCTACATTTCCGGCCTTATTCTATTTTGAGTCAACATTTACTTTATTGTTATAATATATTTTTCTTTACAACATTTCAAAAGTGAAGAAGTTGGAATTTGCCCAAGCTAATACTAGCCCAGAAACAACCGGTTTTCAAGATACCCACAATATTGGTGTAAATTAAAAAAATATATATATTATTTTCTTCAGTCTTGTATAAGTGTCTACATCAAAAGTTTAAGTCTGAAAGTAAAGAATATAAATGAGAAAATTACCGATTTGGTCCCTCGACTATGAGGATTTCACCAATTTGATTCTCGACTATCAAAATTACTCAATTTGGTTCCCGACTATGACATTTTTACCTGATTTGGTCCTAAATGTTATTTGTAGGTCAAACCTAAAAGGTAATTTTGGGATTTAAAAAAAGCTAAGTATCTTCCTTTTTCTTCCCTAAATATAAGTCGTTTGTTTTATATAGATAGGTTATTTGTTTTCGATAGCAGTCGCAACTTCAATATGCAACCAAAGTGCAGTGAATCATCTTCATCCAACTATAAGAATCGAATGATGTTCGAAAATGGAGATGCTTATAGCTGGATGAAAATGACGTTGGTACAAGGCAGCAAATTTTTGAACATCATTCAATTATTATAGGTAGATGAAGATGATTCACGGCACTTTGGTTGCATATTGAAGTTGCGACTGCTATCGAAAACAAATAACCTATCTATATAAAACAAACGACTTAGATTTAGGAAAGAAGAAGGAAGATACCTTTTTTAAATTCCAAAATTTCCCTTTAGGTTTGACCTGCAAATAACACGTAGGACCAAATCAGGTAAAAATGTCATAGTCGAGGACCAAATTGAGTAATTTTGGTAGTCGAGAATCAAATTGGTGAAATCCTCATAGTCGAGGGACCAAATCGGTAATTTTCTCGAATATAAATTATATACTCCCTCCGTCCCGAATTGGTTGTCTCATTTACTTTTTGCACGCTTTTTAAGGAATTAAAGTAAATGCTATGTATTTTCCAATTATGCCTTTCACTTTTTCACTTTTTCACTTTTGGAAATAAAAGCAAAAGTCATAAGGGTAATTTGAGAAAAAGTAGAATGATGGTGATGTTTAATTTTGGAAAGTGGACAACATTTTGGGACAAACTAAAAAGGAAAGTTAGACCAACAAAATGGGACAGAGGGAGTACTATTTTTCATTTCAATAACTTAACAATTTTACCTAAATCGTGGATGTGGCTGTGTCTATAAGTTCCCTAAAGTACTCGTATATATATTGGTACACAATATGATCCATACACCTTTGCAACGATTAACAAAGCAAGCTATTAACATCTTTAGATTGTTCAATCAATTGGGACTATTTTGGGATGAGATTTAGTATAATTATTTCTAATAGCAAACTCCCATGAGACGTCTCACGGATTATCATGTGTGAGACGGGTATGATTTTTCATAAGCTGACTGCTTCGATCAATCTAAGAAGACTAGTCATTCTTGCTGAGATCGAGTTGAACTTGTAACTTTGTAATTGCCAAGTCAAGAACATGACCAACTTACCTGAGATTGTCCCAGGATCGGAGTCACCCATTTTTAAATAGTTTGTGGATGGAGTATGAAAGGGAAAGAAATTCTTGTGTGCTATTATATTATTGGCTTGACTTGGTCATCTGATATACTCTATATATCATTTAGGCAGCAAAAGCCTTTGAGTCATGCATGTGCATGCAATCAAGCCAAATCCGCGTTAAGTTGACCTGAGAATATGCCCATACCCTTACTAGCTAGCTAGAGTCCACCCACCATTCTCATCTTTACAATTTGTATGTATATATCAAGCGCAGCTTTCAATTCCTGCAACTTCCATAGCCAAAACTAGTTTTAATTTTGTGCAGAGAAAAATGGGGAAGGTGAAGCTTGGAGCTACTCCATTATCCAAAAACTCTGTCAACCATTTCAGTCACCCACACCCATTGGAGCTCACCACCCACCATACCAAACAAGGCCTAATAACTCCCTCATCATCATCATCTTCATCATCCTCCCTTTCTTGCTCAGCATGCAAGCTTCAACTGCTCTCTGGTTCACCATTCTACGCCTGCAAAACCTGCAACTTCTCCCTCCACGCCGATTGCTTCAAACTGCATCGAGAGATCACTCACCCTTTCCATAAACCCCACGTTTTCACTCTCCTCCCCAAAGCCCCTTACCCCTTTGGCCTTTTCACCTGCGATGCCTGCGGGGGAGAAAGCGATGGCTTCTCTTACCATTGCATCCCTTGCGGCCTTGACCTCCACGTCCAGTGCGCGGTTCTCCCGCTTTCTGTAACTCACCATTCTCATCACCATCCCCTTCAGATCATATTCCCCAGTCCTCATTCCCAGACACAAGTGTTTTCTTGTGACATTTGTAAGAGTCTTGGGCAGGGTAAGTTCTGGAAGTATAGATGCCATTCTTGCGATTTTGATGCTCATTTGAACTGCACAAAGACTGTTAATGCTTCTGCCTCTAGGATTAATTTATCTCCTCAGCCTAACTTGGGGTTTAGGCCGCCGCAAGTTCTTCCACAGCAATTTTACAGGCCTCCGTTGCAGAATTTGATGACACCAAACGTGAATTTGCAGGGGAATAATGGTGGTGGGCAGAACTTTGAGGAGTTGGTGAGGGCATATGTTGAGAATTATTCTCGTCTTTATCGTGAGCAGCAGGCGGCGGCGGCGGCGGCGATGGGTGGGGTGGGAGGTGGAGGTTTAAGTCAGTCTGGTAATGGAGGCAGCTTTCCTGGTGGCGGTGGTGGAGGAGGATTAGATTTCTTGCAAGCGTTGAATGGCGGGGGTGGAGTTAACGGTGATGGTGACGAGTACCTACGATTGTTAAACGGCGGCGGAAGTGGTGGGGGATCGGATTTCTTGCAAGGGTTGAATGGTGGAGGGGGATTAGATCACTACCTAAAATTGTTAAACGCCGCCGGTGGTGGTGGTGGTGGTGGAGGAGGATTTGGTGGAGCTGGAGGGCTGGACTATTTACAGGCATTTACTGGTGGTGGTGGTGGCGGCGGCGGTGGGGGAGGAGCTGCCTTGTTGCAAGCGTTGATGGGAGGTAGCGATGGCGGCGGCGGTGGCGTAGGTAATTTGAGCAACATTCTTGGAGGTGATGGTGGTGCATCCATGATTAATACTTTGGCTGGATTGTTTGGAGGACTTAACTTCTGAAATGAATGAAACAAAGACAACTTCGTACTGTTCAAGAATACATGCACTTATGCAAACTGTTGTTTTTGTTATTGTTTTTTTTTTTTTTTTGTCAAAGGAAACTCGCAGCCATGCACTACTTGAAAGTGGAAAGTGTGCACAGGCTGGCTGGACCAAGAAGATATTATTAGTTGGAATTGAACTTGTGATATTTTCTAGTACGAGAATCATGTTTCACTAATTTAATCATTTTCTGAGACGTGATTTTTAAGTTGTTGTACCTTGTAATTGTTGCATGAATGAAACTACAACTCAAATTTGCAGTCACTGTATGTCACTGTATGTCTATTTAATTAGCACTGTAATATTCTCTCTTGTATATACATCATATCAATACAATGACACAAGTCTTTATCACCAAGCCAATAAACTTTTTTCTTTTCTTTTTTAGACAATGGAGAAAAAAAAAAAAAAGGAGTAAATTATACAAATCAGGGAAGGGCAATGCCCATAATATCACAAAAAGTAACCAGCTAGGTCCTTAGTTCTAGAGCACTTGAAGACCTATATGGCTATATAGGTGTGGTCATGATGAGTCGCCATCCAATCTACACAAGTATCTGGTTGTTGTAAATGTGTTCACAATTACAGTTCCAATCACATGTTATGAAAGCTCTAATAGTTTCAAGTAAATAGTTACGTGGTTCTAAATCGAGCAACACCAACAATGTCAGCAAAAAGTAAAGATTTGATCTGACTCTATTAAGAGAAGTCTCAAAGATCATGATCACCACAATAATTAACTAGCTTCCTGCCAATGCACTTAATTATGCAATTCCAATCTTGCGGCCCAAAGACCAAATCTCTGGTTTGAATAGGTCAGAGGAATCACATATCCAACTGTCTGACAGACAATTTGCACACAAATTTCAGGCTGTCCAATGTATTGACTTTGACATTATGAGATGATATTTCAATGATTACCATGAATCCATGCCACCAACTTCATTCTCACCAATTAATGAATCAATTTTGCAGTACTTAACATTGCACAATTAGTACAGTTTAGGTGAGAGGGGAAATTAAAGAATTGAAGAAAAATGGGGAGAGTGAACACATCAGAAACTAACCAATCTTCTGTGCTTCATTTCAGCCATCCCCACCCCCTTCACCTCTCAAATCCTCATCCCTTTCAATCATGTTCTGCCTGCTGCCTTGAGGCTAAATCTGCAGCAGTGTACACTTGTACCCACTGCAACTTCTGTCTCCATCAAACATGCTTCGAAATGCCTCAGAAACTCACACACCCTTTCGACACAGCCCACGTTCTTTCCCTCCTGCCCACGCCAGCCTACCCCGAAGGCCTATTCAGCTGCGACGCCTGTGGGAAGCGAGGGAATGGATTCTCCTACCACTGCCAGCCCTGTGGCATTGATCTCCACACGATATGCGCCTCGTTGCCAATGCTCCTCGCTCACTCGTCCCACCACCACCAGCTTAGCCTCACGTTCTCGCCTCCTTATCAGGGAAACCGCTTCTCGTGTGATCTGTGCAGAAAGGTGGGATCCAAGAACTGGCTATACCACTGCACTGCCTGTGAATTTGACATTCACTTGAGTTGCATAACCACAATCCCTGCCCCCCATCACATCCCAGCCAATTCTTTCATCAATCCAATGGCTCATAACAGCCCTGTCAGGCCACCTGCAGGGATTGAAATGGCTACTTATCAGCTTCAACCTCATGGCAGACCTGTAAGGCCAGCTGGGAATTCCACTGTAAATCTGGGAAGTGGTCTTATGAACAGCTTGGTTAATGGCTTAGCTAGTGGTGCTTCTCAGGCGGCCACTCAGGCCCTTATCCAGGGAATAACAGGTGGAATGGATGGAGAAAATGCAGATGTTTCATACTGAGAATGAATAGAGAAAATATAATCCTGAAAGTGTTGACATTTTTCTTTCATTTTCACTTGTTTCTTGAATTCATTAACTGATGTTAAGTATTTTGTTTCCTGTAAAAGATGTGTATGAATCCCCATATATATTCTGGATTTGTAAGAACAATCTATCTATCTATCTGCAAGAATTATCCATGTTAACCTGATTAGAAAATGTTCGTCTTGAGAATTTAAGCAGTAATAAATTAAGGATAAAGTGTTGCAACTCTGATGTCCTACAATGGAGGAGATAAATCACTAATGTGCCTCGATAATGTATAGATACTTGGGCATGCCTGCAACAAGGCAAATTTCATATTTATGGGCAGGTTAATATTTATAAAGTTGTACCTCTGGTTAGTTTTTAATAAGTTCAACACAGCTATATAAAGATTGGACTGGTATTTAATTGATTAAGTAAAGAACAATAGTTTTGAAGCTCTTAAGTCTTAATAACTGGAGAGCAAAATTTTAGCAATTTAGCCTACTAGTTGATTTCGGACCCTTCATTACAATGAGGCAATATTTACACATGGAATCAACATTTCTAATCTAATCTAAAAATATAATAAGTTTCAATCAGAGTTATATTCTTTATTTATGTTCAGGTTTTTAATGTTAATCATTTTGTACATTATGCTTTTAGAGTTGTACTATATAAATTTTTGGACAAAAATATACCTACCATTATAACTTCTGTTATCTTTTCCATTATTGTTACAATCCACATGCATCCACCATATATTTTCTTATATATTCTTTAATAATAATAATATTCGTAGACATTATATATTGGATTATTATAATAAATTTTTTTTTGATTATATATATATATATATATATATATATATTTTAATGAGTAGGAATTTGTTACTTATTTTAAAAGATATAAATATTGAGCATATATTTTTAATTTGTGCATCGCACGAAAAGACTAGTAGGACTATAATAAGTCTCTTCCTATGGATACCAACCGGCAGGCGGAGCGATTAAGCCGTCAAGGAATGTCTTCATGACAACGGTCGGAGAACATTGCTTCCATTGCCCACTTGCCGTCGGAGGTAGGTTTTAACGGAGCCAGAGAGCCCTTTAAGTCATAAGCAGCCATGACTTTGGTGTTGTGGATGGATATTCAGGTGTTCTGGTTGGGATTTGTGATTTTTTTGGGTGAACCCTCCAAACAAAACAACACCGAATATCCATCCACAACTGCAAAGTAGCAGGCGGCTTTCGATGAAGGCAGGGCTCTCTAGGCTCGGTTAAAACTTACCTTGGACGGCAGTACGTGTAACCGATTCACCCTTGAAAACTTCCTGGAAAAAAAACTATAACACACACATTTGTTGGCTTTAATTGTTAAGTAATTGACCTGATAACGAGAGCCCGGGACTAGAAGAAATTATGGAACTTAGATATGAAAGAATTTTGCATGGAGCGAGGGCTATGAATGGAGAATTATTGTAGCTAGTGCTGTGAATTTAAGAAGGAAATTAAAAGGCCAGGGTGGAAGTGCATGTAGGTGGCAGTGTGCGGGGAAGGTGAAAAAGAGATTAGGCATATCGTAGTCCTTTCTGAATTCCGATCCTTTTAATTTGGATGGGAGGGTTGTTACAACACGCAGATAGTGCGTGTGACGGGTGGTACACTATCTGCAGTGACGGATCCGGAAAGCATAAGAAAAAATTTGAACCCACATTTCTTAGGTACAAATTAAATGCACGCTCCAACTGGTCTAACTCAACTCTTGTTAACATGTATCTGTTTTCTTTAAAACTTGTACTATATATACATATATACATACAAAGGTTATATAAGGGCCGGGGTGGGGTGATCGAGTGGGGGCAGCTCCCACTAGTCCATTGTAGCTCCGCCCCTGACTATTTGCGTGATCTACCGCACATACATATGCGGCCGGGCTACAGTACAGATCAGAATTAAAGACTAATGAACCCATGTTAACCTTATTAGAAAATGTTCATGTTGAGAATTTAAGCAGTAATAAATTAAGCTTCAAGTGTTGCAACTCTGATGTCCTACAATGGAGTCTAGATGGAGGAGATCGATAAATCACTAATATGCCTCGAAAATGTATAAATATTTGTCATGTCTGCAGCAAGGCAAATAGGTAACTGGACAACACATCTACATAAAAATTGGACTGGTACTTACTAGATTAAGTAAAGGACAAAAATTTTAGAACTCTTAATCACTCGAGATGATGACTTGGGAACAAAATTTTAGCCACTAGTTGAGTTCGGACCCTCAGTTACAATGAGGTAATATTTACACGTGGAATGACGAACATTTAGGTGCTAGACAGCTACAAATGAGAAGGTTTAGACATGTGTGTAAAGTCCGTTGTAACTTGTAAATGGAATAGTAAGCTCGAGTGAGAATCAAAGATGGGATTAGAGCATTCTAATAGTCATTTTTCGGATTTTTGTCAAGTGGGTAAGAGAAAGAGTAATAGACTGTTTTGGGGCAAATTATGTTGCGCATATGGATGCAAAAACGACGACTAAAAATGCGTGTCTAATTTAAGAAAAATAAAAATCAGTTTCAATTCCCGTCAATAATATTATGTTGTGCATAATTTCTGAATGTATAGTTATTAAATTATGTATGTATAGTTATGCAATTCTGGATTTATAGTTATGAAATTATGGATGTATATTTATGCAATTCGATCTAGATGTATAGTTATGAAGTTATGCAATTCTGGATTTATAGTTATGAAGTTATGGATGTGTAGTTATGTAATTCTGAATGTATAGTAATGAAGTTATGGATATGTAGTTATGCAATTCTAGATGTACATTTATGCAATTCTGGATGTATAATTATGCAATTAAGGATGTATAGTTATGAAATTATAGATGTGTACTTATGCAATTTTGAATTTTATTTTTTTTAAGTCGACATCAAAACGACGTCATTTCTCGTGTTTTGGTATGTTGCACGAGTGAGGGTTTTGTCTTATTTTTATGGGCTGAACTAATCTCTCTCCTCTATTATCCAAAAAAAAAAAAAAAAAAAAAAAAAAAAAAAAAAAACTATCAATAAAAAATTATTAACTTTTTTGAATTATTGATGAACTACCCACATAATAGGTTCGGAGTTTGAATAGGCCAAAAAAGTGTACTTTTTGATTGGGGAACTTAACCAAAAATGAAAAATCCCAGAACATGATATACCCTTTGAGTGGGCAACCCAGAACATGAGATGTAAGTGCAGATGATGTGAGACAACATGAAAAAGTGGAAAGATGTTATGTTGGGAGCCCACAAGGTTGTCTACTTCTTTGAATGATTAGTGATGACCAGACCAAGCCCATGATTCATCACTGCACAGCCCAAATACACACAAGACAATCATTATACCCTGCACCACGACGCGCGCAGCATTGTGCATCTCGTGCCTCCCAAAACGATATCGTTTTGAGAGGCGCGGAAGAGAGTTGACGTGATTATGTATATTTGTTTATATCATTATGTGTATTTATTTATACAATTATGTGTATTTTTTTATACAGTTATATGTGTCTGTTTATACAATTAAGTGTATTTATTTATACAATTATGTGAAATGACGTTGTTTTGCATCAGGGCGCACAAATGCAATGCGCGCCCTGTTGCGCGATATAAATTGCCCCATCTCCTCACTCCGGCGTATAATTCCACCCAAAAAAGACAAGACAACACGGAGCAATTACCTCAATTCATCATTTCTACTCTCTAGCAACACCATTGGTATGAAATGAATGATTTTTTTGTCAGATTTTTCTCATGTTATAGAGAGGGGAGAGAGATTAGTGACATTCTTTTATTGATAGATTTTTTTTTTTAAAAAAAAAAAAAAAAATTGTTTGTGCACTTTCTCACGCTACCAAGCAAGCACATGCAATGTATGCACCCGTGGGGATAATTCTGGTTGCACAAATGCAGTGCATGTGATCATTGGGACAATTAAGGTGGTCGTCAACAGGCTACCAACCTAATACTATCTTCGGAATGCAATAGATTAAGAAAGTATAGAACAGATACGTAATAAAGTCAATAGTACTAAAAATACCACAAAAAAAAAAAAAAAAAAAAAAAACATATCAAGCCTCTAATAAGTAATAACTACATTGAACCAAGTCATCGTCGAATTAGGTTGAACTTGAGCCACCTCTCCTAACAAATTGGCAACCTAATCTGACAAGCAGAGATCTCATAAGCCAAGTCCAATTGCTATTGACATACAAAGTATATACTTAATAGGTTGGTTTATATAGTGCTTTTCGCATAACGATATTATAAATAAATATATTTTGTATTTAATTATGCCTATGTTTTAATCTGATTATAATATTTCAAATTCAAAACATACATCATATATTAGTTACTTTAATTGATTTGTAATAAAATCAGTTAAGAAATAATTAATTTCACTTTTAGTCCGATGACTTTTAAGGTCTTATTACTTTTGGTGCACAACTTTAAATTTTATCAATTTTGGTGCATAACTTTGTTATTTTTATCCGTTTTGGTCATTTCGGCTAAATTGATTGTGAAATGTTGCCGGATTTTATATTTTAAGGGCAAAATAGTTATCTCAATGACAAATCTTCAATATCTAAACAAAAGAAAAATCATATTGAAATAAAAAAATTAAAAAAAAAAAGTTTGTCAATTGTCGACGCTATAAGTCTCATAGATCTGTATCTAGTTTCTACACGTCTTTCTCATTATTCTCATTGATCAAACACCTATAGATATGATTTTACAATGATTTTGTTTATATATTGAAGATGTTTCTTTGAGACGATTTTATTCTTAAAAATATAAAATCTGACAAAATTTTGATATAAATTTGATCGAAATAACCAAAATTGATAAAATTAATAAAGTTAGACAATAAAATTAAAAAAAAAAAAATTATATATCAAAAATAATAAAATCTCAAAAGTCGTTAAAGTCAAAGTGAAATTAATTC